CTCCTGGCTCTGCATTCAGGAATCACTCTTGGCAGTGCTTGGGGGTGATATGAGATGCCAGAGATTGAACCCGGGTAAGTGCAAGACAAGCACCGCACCCATCTCTCCAGCCCCCTGGCCAGTGCCTTTGGTTTTGCACCCTCACGCTATCCCTCTCTCCATGACTGAGACTGGGAGCTTTGGAGAAAAAAGATGAAGAGGGAGGAAAAGACTTTTTTTTTGGGGGGGGGGTTCACACCCAGCGATGCTCGGGTGTTACTCCTGGCTCTGCGCTCAGGAATGACTCCTGGTGGTGCTTGGGGGACCATATGAGATGCTGGGGATCAAACCTGGGTTGGCCGCGTAGAAGGCAAATGCCCTCCCGGCTGTACTATCGCTCCGTCCGAAAAGACAATTTTTGTTGTTGGTTTTATTTGGGCCCACACCTGCTATACTATTTCTCCAGTCTAAGAAACCAATTAAATTTCTATTTATGGAGTCCAGATGGACACGAGCAGTTCATTTGCATTAAGAAAGTAAAATGAGGTGGGGCTGGAGATAATTCAATGCTGGAGCTTATGCTGTGCCTTAGGAGGACACAACATGGTCCTCTGAGCGCTGCCAGGGGTGACTCCTCAAATATTCAAATATGTAAAGTGGAGTCACTTATAAATTAATTCACTGTTAGGCGACTGAAAGAATTAAAAGGCAGCAGCCGTCCGTCTGGGTTGGGACCAGTGAGCTGACTTGCACAGAAGCGCAGGCCTGGGCAACCGCGGCATCTCCGTTTTGGGGAGGCTGTGGTGCTCTTGGCATGAGCATCGGTGGGGACTCAGAGAACCGTCCAGCGCGGGGTGGTCGGTGACTGGGTAGACGTGCAGGGGGAGGAGCCATCAGTGACGGAAGGAAGGATGGACAAATGCTGGGCAGCTGTAGAGCGGCCGCGATGTGGCGGTGACTTCCGCGGACACAGGGGCGTAAGAGGCGATCACGAGGGGCCTTCCACACAGCACTCCCACCGAGCGCGGGCCGAGCGGTCACGGGTGCAGCGGTGCCGCGGGTCCGCCCCGGCCGGGCGCGCGCCGTGACGCCAACAGCGCGCGCCGCCCCCAGTTCCGCACTTGAACTCACCGTCCCCGGCCGCGGCTCCTCCCCGAGCTCAGCGCGTCTGGCGGCCGCGTTTCTTTCCCGCAGGGTCTTGGCCAAGGCCAAGGCCCGGAAAATCCGGTTTCTCCTAGAGAAGCGGGGCTCCTCCAAGGCTGAGAGAAGCCCTGATGGTTTGCGGCACAGCAACTGCCCGGGCCACTGACGAGTGACCGAGAGGGATGACCCTTCGCTTGACCCTGGCAAACTTTCACCTGTGACCTGGCTCCACCCGCCAGATGAGTCCCCTGCTCAGGATCGTGAGCGAATAGTTTATTTACCTACCCCCTGACAGCAGCTGGGGAGTCTTGAGCCGGGGGCTTCGCCAGGTCCAGGGCCTGGGGTGGGGGAAGGGGATGGGGGGAGGAGACTCAGGGTGCTATTAGTTTTGTGGGGCCGCTGGGGATGGGGGGAACAGAAAAGATGAGACCACCCAAGCCCCTCTAAATTCATCAAGCAGCTTTTATGTCTAGAGGCTACACTTGGTGGTGCTCAGGGACTTGCTTTGGGGATTGGGTGCCTGGGATCACGTGCAAGGCAAGTTCTTTGACTCTGTACTGCCTCCCGGCCGGAGAAGCGTTTCAACTAGGTTTGGGGCCAGGGCATTGAGGGCATTTGAGCAGAGAAGGTGGTTTGTCCTTTGAGGCCACCTCAGGAGATGACACCTTTGGCCTACTGGGCCCTCCACAGGTTAGGCACAGCTAGTAGGGGAGTAAGTGGGAGGTAGGTGGGCCAGCCGGGCAGAGACAACGTTCAGGCGTCAGTCAGCCCCAAACCTGAGCACCATGAAGGTTGCTTTCAGGGGTTTTTGCTCTGTGGATAATGGAAGGAGGGGAGTTACAGGGCCACATCAGGGACCACCATGTTCCCTATGCGTCAGCCAATCACCACATTTACCCAAATCCTGAGAAGTTTCTGTGGTCTATTGTCCTTTGTGGTTAGTTCTCCACTGTCTTTGTCTCCATTCTTTCTTGGGGTAGAGGTGGTATTCTGAGCTTACTCCTGGCTTTTTAATCTCCATTCCCTCATCTCCATTCTTCCTAGGGTGCTTGATCCCAGTTTAAAGGCTGTAGTGAGGTAGTAGTTACTCAGACCCCTTGATTCTGTATGTTTATTTTTTCGGGTTTTGGGGCCACACCCAGTGATACTCAGGGTCCACATGGGATGCAGGGGATCGAACCCAGGTCGGCTGTGTGTAAGGCAAGTGCCCTACCCACTGTACTCCAGCCCCTGATTCTGTTTGGTTTTTGGACAACTGTGCTCAGGATCACTCCTGGTGGTGCTCAGGGGACCAAATGGGGTTGGCTGCTTGTGTGCAAAGCAAGCACTTTAACCTGTGTACAACCTCTTTGGTCCCAGATTCCCTGATTAAATAAAAGTGAGGGAAATACTCTGGCATCTTCAACTGAGATCGTATTTGCTGTGAGGGCTAAAGGCACAACGAGGAAAAGAATCCTCTTTGTTAGCTAAAAGGAGACAGACCTGTTTGTACTATTCTGAAACAACTGTGACTGCTTTGTTTTTGCTCTGATTGCCACTCTTCACCCACACAAGGAAAGGGAGAAACCCTGTACTGTGGTGGGGAGGGCTCTGAAGGGACAGAACACTCAGTTCCAGCCTCACAGTAGGGTGGATAGGGCCAAAGATTAGCCAGCTCCTGTCCCAGGCTGCCCACCACCTCACTGCATTCCCTTGTGCTGTCCCAGAGGCCACTGTACCTCAGGCAGGTTCCTGATGAGCCCAGGCTCTAGTGCTGGATGCTTAGACTGCCTGATGCGGAGTCGAGGGTGCTTGGCTTCCAGCGCTACAGTGTCTCTGGCTATGGGCAGGACTTGGCGATCAGGGTCCCTATATTCCTTAGCTCATATTTGCTCTTGGATACTGCCTGTGTGGCTGGTCAGTAGGGAATGGGGGTCAGACTGGATGTAAAGTCTGTATTGCCTATTAGCTGGAAGATGTCTTCACACTTTCAGCAAGGGCAGGCAGTGCACCCTCAGAGGCCTGTGTCTGCACTGTTTCCCTCCTGTGTCCTGTCTGCAGGCTTTGAGGTCCTGGTTAAGTGCAGCCAGACTCCCTCCAGGCCCTGCCTGCTCACTTCCCTCCAGCCTTGTTGGTGCCCCTCAGCCCAGACAGGGGCAAGCTCTTTCCTGCATGCAGGACACCCCTCCCACTCCGCTTCCCTCAGGTTTCAGCTCCAAGAATTGAGGTGCCTTATGATGTGATTGGAGGGGTTCCCACCTCCACCTCCACCCTCTGCCCCAGGGAGTTCAGACATAGATAGGCCAGTCTGCCTGCCTTGGCAGGTCAACTCTGCCCTTTGGCTGAGAAAGGAGTATTCTGGAGCAGGATCCTATAGCAGGATGCCCACCCTTCCTGGGAAGAGGGTGAGGGGAGCTAGACTGCTACTGGGCATGGGTCCCCAAGCCCTCTGGGCCCAGTGGAGTCTCTATCCTTCCTCTGAAGGGGGCAAGGCCAGGACTTGGGCTGGTGTGCAGCGAGGGGCTGCCATTCATGGAGCTCTGTATTCCAGGGTCAGCTGCCTGCCTAGCTTTCCATGCTCCAAGAATTAGTTGGAGCCCTTGAAGACTGCAACTTCTTACAGCCCCCAAAAGAAAAGCTTCCTTATACATGTGAAGCCCTGTTCTTAGCCCCTTCCTGGGATTCTCTCATTTCATTCCTGTAACCCACAGCTGTACGTTTGTTTTAATCAAAGTCACTTAGTGAGTGCATGAGGGTGCTGGTGTTCGGCCTGCTGCTGTAGCCTCTATGGAGGCCCTCAGGAAAGCTGTTGCACCCCTCCAGCCTCAGGAGCCAACGCTTTCCATAACTGCTTTCACTCCCTCACTAAGCTGCTAAGGACCTCACAAAGAGCCAGTGATTTGCATACCTGAGGGGTGTGTGTGTGTGTGTGTGGTGTGTGCACTTGCCCAGCCACTGTCCCTTGAGGGTAGGCAGGATTTGCTGTCTGGGCCCCAGTTTGTCTAAGGGTCAAACTCAGAGCCAAGCCCAGGGTCTCTCCCTGGAGAACCTTAAACCCACATTTCCCTCACACCCCCAAATCCCAGAGATATGATTGCAGTGTGAGGTCACGGGGTCAGGCACTCTCCCCTAAAGTGGCTGCAGGGACAGACCTGCTTATGATAGGCTTCTGCTGGCAAGTTACCACCAGTCTGAGCCAAATCCTGACATGACTTGTACCCACTGAGTCACTTGGACAGGAAGGTGGCATCTGCTCCCACACAGCCTGAGGCACAGGCTGATCCTCCACTTGGCCTGAGGTTGTAGCTTTCGGCCCCTGAGCTGTATGGGAGTGGAGGGTGAGGAAGGACCTTGAAGCCACAAGGACCTTCTGGTTCAGGGCTGTGGCGTCCGTGCCCAGCTGGCTTCCATGCCTGGGATCCCTGAGACTCCAGCCAGACTGATAGCTTACTTGAGGTGCAAGGGCTGTAGCATTAGACACCCCCCACATTCCCTAGATCCTGGTCAGGTAGCACTTGGTGAGGGAGTGATGAAAGCTCCTCTCTGAGGACCAGAACTAGAAAACCCAGTTTTGAGCCCCAAACACTTCCCCTAATGCATAGAGTTACAGTAAGGACATCTGGGGGATCCTGCCACAGCTACAGAGCAGCTCTCTACTCTGCCCACCCAGTGCTGGCCCCGCAGGATCTTGCCCATAGGCCAGATAAGGCCTACAGAGAGTCCAGATGTCCTCCTGGTCTGGTGCTGGGTCTCTTGGGGGCAGTGCAAACGCTGCCAATAACTGGGTCATCCACTAAAATCCAGTCTTCCCATGCCCCCTGCAGTATCCTCAGGGCTGGCCCTGTCTTTTACATTGGTATCACCTACAGATCAGCCCACACAAGGACAGGAGATTGCGACAGGATCCGGTTTATTCTGCCTTGGGAGGGTGGTCCTGAGAGTGGCAAATGCCACCCTGTCCCGGGCGGAGGGAGGGCCCAAGGGCCAGTTAAGGCCAGTGGCGGGAGAAGCAGGGGGCATGTAGCCCCTGGAATGCGGAGAGGCCAGGCTAAGGCCCAGAGGCAGCTGTGGTAGGCCGGGGCAGGTGACCCTGCTGCCCAGGGTGGAAGGCACCGGGCGGGGACCGGGCCATGGCTACAGGGCCGTGGATCCAGGCCACATGGACACCCTGGGAAGCAGATCACATGGTTACGTGGCACGGTACATGGAACACGGGCACACAGCTCATGAGCAAGCATATGGAAAATGGGCACAGAGTCACAGGCCAGAGGAAAACCCAGCCTGGGCTGGACACACGGACACAAAGCAGACAGACCACACGGATACATAGCACTATGGGATGAGGACTTAATGGCTACAGGCCATAGAGTTCAAGGGACAGGGATTGGGGCCTTTTGGCACGACTGCACTGGAATTGTGAAAGGAGGGTGATGAGGCACCCCCCAGTGTGGGCCCTCAGGGCTCAGTCCGTCTTCCACACTTTGTTCAGCAGCTTTACCACCTCATCATAGATGATGAACACAATAGCCACATCCAGGCAGACCCGGCCTAGGCGAGGGACGGTGCCCTTGTAGAATCTGGGGGTGGAGGGTGGGGAGGGGAAAGGTCAAGGGCAGTGTCCCTGGGAAGTGGGGTAGGAAAGGATCTAAATGTAAGAACTTAGGGGATGGACTGGGGTGTGGGCAGGGGGAGCCTGAGGTGGGAGCAACCATCCCTCCTTTCCCCCACTCACGCCTTGAGTCCTTCATTCCTCAGGATCTGCAGGGAGCAGTCCCACGTGTTCCGATACTTGTGTGCCTCCAGGCCCTGCAGCACATGGGCATGCCACAGTGCTCACCAGCCAGGAACTGCCTTGAGCACCCCTTCCTCCTCAGGTCTCACTGCCTACCTGCATCCGGGTCTTGATCACGTCCAGAGGAGTGTTTCCAAAGACACTAGCTGCACCCGCAATAGCCCCGAACACTCCAGTGATGAGTGGGTTCATGGGCTTGTTCGGGTTGTCCCCTAGATGTAAACAGAGGTGATGGGAGGGAAAAGAGCATCCGAGGGCTGGGAGAAACCTGGACGGGGGTGTCTGAGTTGGGGGGGCGGTTGTCAATGGAGCGGGGTATCAAGGCCTGCAGACTCACCCCGGTACCAGTTGCGTAGGGAAGTCATAACGAAGAAGCGAATGGCTTGGTTGGATCCCTGCTTCAGCACAGTGGCCGTGAGACCCTGGTACGTCCCCCTCAAACCTGGAGGAGAAAAGCAGGCATGGGGTCACGCTGATGCCTCTTGGGCATTAGCTGTTGACTGGGGGAGGTGCACATAAGAGCTCTGAGGCAGGAGAAGGAAGTGCAGGCCTGAAGAAGGCAGCCAAGTGGCTTACCTTGCTCCCGAACAATCTCCCTGACCCCGTGGAAAAATCCTTTGTACTTGGGGTTGGGGGACGTCTGGTCATGGATGAATTTCACCTGGGAGGAAAGCAAAGGTGATGGGTTCCCCGGGCTGGCCCTGTGATGTGAAGGCTCAAAGCCTGCAAATGTCGGGTGAAGGAGGAAGCGCAGCTCTTCCCTGGCATATGCCAGGGAAGGGCCACCCAAGGATACCCTCATTAACGCAACTGTTATCTTTTCTGTTCATGACAGTGCTCTTCACACACGTCAAGGTCTTACTATTGAACTCAAGTGAACCTGGCTTCCAGGTGGGCCTCACATTCCAGGCCTTTCCTCCTGCAGCCTTGCTTCCACACTGTCTCGCTTACCTTGACGGTTTCCATGGGACACACTACCACCACTGCCTCAGCCACGCCGGCACCCAGGCCGCACAGTAGCCCGCGCGTGCTGTCCAGACGTCCCTGTTCGTCCCGCATGTAGTTGCTGAGGAACTCGAACATTCCAAACCTGGGGGGGGAAGACAGTGGGTGAGGGGCTGCCTCCACCAGACTGCCTCCGGCGCCTCCTTCCCCCCGCCCCCGCCCCCAGCCCACCTCACCTGACGGCTGCCTTGGGGATGGAGCCATAGAGAAGGGAGCTGAGGCCTCGGTACAGACCCAGGACGCCATGGCTACTGACCGTCTGGCGCACGCAGTCTCCTGGGGGAGAGGGTGGTCAGCGAGCCCCGCCCCCTGCCGCGGCCGCTCCCCAAGCGCTGCTCCGCTGGGCCCGGCGGCTGCGCCCCCCAAGCCCCCCGCTCCTTTCTCACCAATGCCACGGTACCGCGGCGGGTGCGAACGCTCGTCCAGCTGCAGCTGCGTCTTCACGTACTCCGTAGGGAAAGTGATGCAGATTTCGATGCCGCCCGCCAGGCCGCCTGCAGGGACCGCGGCCCCGCGCCCTGAGACCCGGGTCCGATAACCGAGCCCCCCGCCCACCGCCACGCCCCTCCCCCGCCCCGAACTTTGCCCAGCGCCGGTGCAGCTGCGACGCCGAGTCGGTCCCCCGCCCCACCCTCGCGGCCCCGGCGTGGCTCCAAGGGGCCACAAGCGAGAGGCGCCCCACTGTGCCGGCTGGGGACCGGGGCCGCACCCCCGGGCCCGGAAGTGGGGCGGGCCCGAGCCCTGGGCCCAGCAGGAAGCGCGGCGGGGTGCATGGAACTGGGGGTCCACGTCCCGGGGGCCCACCTGCCAGGATCGCCTTCCCCGGGTGCGTCAGCTTGGCTTTCCCGGACGTGGGCGCAGCGGCCGCCAGAGAGCGGGGTGCGGCCATGGCTGGCGGGGAGGCTGGGCGCCCGGCGTCGACCACGAGTCCGGGCTTCGGCCTCGGGTCCGAGCCTCCTGCGCAGCGCTCAGTCCGCGGCGGCGGCGGCGGCGGCGGCGGCGGCGGCGGCCGGTTATGGTCGGGGGGCGGGGCGGTCGCGTCAGCTCTTGGGCTCCACCCCGCGTGGTCCGAGCCGGGCCCCGCCCCCGCCCCACCCCGCCCGCCTGGGAAACTGAGGCCGGGGCGGGACGCACAGGGCAGGCGCCTGGGCGGGGAGCGTAGCCCGGCCAATGGCGGAGCTCGGGCTCCCGGAAAAGAAGCGCGGCGGGAGCGGGGGCGGAGTTCCTGGGAGGAGTCGCTGCTCCCGGCCTGGGGGCTTTGGGTCAGGGTGCAGTTTCCAGAACCCACCGGGAACAGGGCCGGGTGCAGAAAGGGGCGTGTGTTGGGGTCTGGTGGGTGTTCCGAGCGACGAGGATTCTCGAGATGGGGCTTGGAGAAGGCGCGGGCCCTCCCCCGAGGCACGTGGGCCGAGCCTGTCCCTGCAGGGATTGGCCTCCTGACCAGCACCGGCTGGGCTGCCACTCCCACTGGGGATTTAGAGCTCCTTGCTGTGAGCTCAATGCTTGAAGACCCCAAGCACTACCGGGCCGCCTCCGCAGGAGACGCAGGCCCCCCACCCACAGATAATGACCAACCACATTTGCCGTCACTTCCTACCCAAACCAGCATCAAGCAGGAAGCTTTGATGCAACCGACTTTAATATTCATGATTGGCAGAAGGTTCAGAGCCAGGTTCTAAGGTCTGTTCAGCTGTGTCTCGGAAATGGCCTGGAGCCGCAGCTCCGACAAGGAGAGAAGAGAAGCACCCCTTTCCCCCAAGGCCAGGGAACCTCCCCAGGAACGCTTGCTCCAGCCAGTGGGCCTGAAGATAACCAGTTGGTCTTCTTGGGTAGACAGTCCTTGGACTCCCCAGGCTCAGGGATGGCGCAGCAGCTACCATCATCAGGTCTCAGCAAAAATAAATAATGTCCTGGTGTCCTCATCATGGTCCTGGGGTGTATTGCTGGGGTGATAGTCTCATTAAGTGGGGTTAGAGATGGGACTGTCGCTGAATGCCCACAACACACTGAAGCCGTACACAGGAGGCTAGGTGAAGGCAGGAGCAGTTGTAGATCCATAAGGAAAGCTGGCAGGGGCTGGGCCTGCAGCTGGGCCCGCTGTCAGCATCAGCTGCTGGCCTGCAGAGGGAAAACCAAGATGAGAGCTCCCGCAGCCTAATGTGGACAGGGACCTAAGAAGCAGGGTCCAGACCACCCAGAGACTGAAGCAATGGAGGGCAGCTGCCTGGAGGCAGGGCTGTAAGCCTTGCTGGTGTGGGACAGCAGAGTCTGGCCAAGCTCTAGGATAAGCTAGTCCTGAAAAGGGTCACTTACTTAGCTCAACCGGTTGGATCTCATTCATGCCCATCAAAATCTAAAAAAACCAGATTGACATTAATGGTAGGTGGGCACATGACCCTGAGGACACAGCTGGTGGGAAAGATAAGCCAAGCTCCTATGCTTCATGCTCACACACGCACACACGCACACATCCATGGGCCTTTGTTAATCTGGCAAAGCATTCTAAGAGCCAATAGTTGTTCTAGGTAGTGGCATTAAACTATCTACCCAATGTCCAGGGAAGCTCTACCTATCCATCTACCCAACGTCCAGGAAGGCTCTACTCAAGGGCCGGGCAGGGTGGCATACACCAGGAGCTGATAGTAGGCAGCTGCCAAACATAAGGAACAAGCAGAGGCACCCCCATCACTCAGCAGGTACTCCCAGAGCAGCGAGGACAGTGGCTGTGATTTTCTAACATTCCCAGATACATTAACCTTTCTTTATCTCTGATAGCCATCACGGTCCTCCTGTTCCCTTCCCTGTTCATTCCCACCCTGATCTGAAGTCCAGCAAGGAAGAGTGCTAAGAACTGTTACCAGTTCCCTTCCCGTCCTAGGGGACAAGGGACTGGAGCCTATGGGATGTAACCTACCAAAGAGGAGAGGGGCAGGCTCCACAACATGCTTCTCTCACTGGCGCTGGCTCTCTGAGGCATCTAGTCTGTCAACCTGTGATGAGGCAAGAGTGAATGAGCAACCATCTGAAGGTTGTGAGCAGTCTGAGGCTCAAGGTGAACACAGCGAGGAGAGGCAAGCAAAAGAGAATTAGAGATGAGGACAGCTACCCAGTAACTCTGGGTCCTCCAGTGACCACTAACTTCTCTGCTCCACAAGGTAGTTTTCTGTAACTGAGTAAAGGGGCTGTGCTGAGGGCACAATCCCTGGTTAATTCCTGCTGCTACTGCAGTCTGTCTGTACTTTCCAAGTGGGCACCTGTCCCATATCCAGCGACTGCAGGTTGTAAATGCAGCATGCCTTACATGCCAAGTCTTCCTCTGGACAAAGGGACATTGCTAAGACAATGCAGTAATTTCTGCTTCCAGTAGGTCCAGGCTTCCTCCCAACCCCCAAGAGACCAGTCACCTGATATCGAAGACACTCCATGTATAGAGAGGACATCCTGGTTGAGGTGGGGCAATGACAACTGTCTGAGGACAAGTTGCATCCTCATTTTTCCCTACCTGAGGGACTACTACTCATGCAGTGCCCACAGGCTGGCACAGGTTCATGAGAGGACCAGAGTGATGTGATGCCACTGAGGCTGTGGGGTATACAACCCTGCGCTATGGGGGTGATAACAACAGTGTGTTTGGGATCTCTCCCCAAACAATAACGCAAGTAAACAAGAAGAAAACATGAGTTTTCCTGCAGGGCTCAGGAAAGATCAGGTCAGGTGCTGGAACTCTAGCAGAGGAAGTCTTGCCATCAGCCCTATGTCCCCACTGTCTCAATAGACCTGTCCTGTCTTTTTTTTTTTTTTCTGGGTCACACCCGGCGATGCACAGGGATTACTCCTGGCTCATGCACTCAGGAATCACTCCTGGCGGTGCTCAGGGGACCATATGGGACGCTGGGAATCGAACCCAGGTCAGCCGCAAACAAGGCAAACGCCCTACCCGCTGTGCTATCACTCCAGCCCCTGTCCTGTCTTTCTATTGAGAAAAGAAGACAGAAAGCACTGGTCTCAGACCTCTAGCACTAGATGTGTCTAGAGGCCCTGTACCCAGTTCTCTCAGAGTGGCTGGGAATCCCTAAATGGATCTCTTATTTTCCTTCCACTGAGTCAGCTGAGAGTCAGCCCTCACCCCACCAGTTCCCGAGAAAATACTCTCTAGTACCCTCTGCTTCTACTATGTTGGGCACCTGTCTTGATGGAGACATATAGGGAGCAGTGAGGGCAGGGTCCAGGGCAGCCCCACCAGGATGATGAGAGGTGTCAGGGAACCCTGAGCTTGGGCACAGGGTCCTTCCAGCAGGAAGGCAGCTATAGCTGAGACACTGTGAGCAGAGTGTGCAACTGAAGTGCTAACCACTTGCTACCAGGATGACCGCTGTTATTTACCACAGAAAGGAAATGTTCCCTGAAGTCTGTGAAGGGTTAGGGAATCCAACCCTTGCAACAACAAAGGTTTGAGTTAACCTGTGAGCCTCAACACCAGGAAGAGATCAAAGTCATATTCATTCTTTTTTGTGGGGTTCAGAGCAGGCAGTCTGCTTCCATGTCCACAACTTAGAAATGAGAAAAATAACCCACTGTGGGCAGAGTGGTTTCCATGGACTAGGTCCATAGAGCAGACACCTCCAGTAGTGAGCTGCATTTACTGTGTTGAAAAACCAGGCATCCTTGTAAAACTGGCATTCTGTGTGGCTCAGGCCACGAGGCAAGGGCTCCAGAAAGTCTCAGAAGGCCTCATATTCAAATATGGTGGTGACGCCACCTCTCCGGCAGAAGGGTGATGGCCTTGAAAGGCCCCTGGGATGGCTCTTGCCAGGAATGGGACAACATCTAGGAGGTTGTGAGCAGGGCAAGATCTTGCACACCAAAGCTGGCAACCAGAACCTTCCCACCACTTCCCTTTTCTTTCCTACTTCTACATTAACCCTGGGAGGCACCCTTCCGTTCCTCCACCACTGAAAGAAACCGCAGCAGAGTGGCTTTTTTGTTGTTTGTTTTTGGCGTCACTGCCAGCAATGCCAGGAGTTACTTCTGGCTCTGCACTCAGGAATTACTCCTGGCAGTGCTCGGGGACCATATGTCATCAAACCCAGGTAAGCTGTGTACCAGGAAAGCACCCTACCTGCTATACCTCTGGCCACAGCCTGGTGGCCTTTTAGTATTGTTAGATATCCATCTGGCTTGAAGAAGGGCTAGCTGAGTTGGTGCTGCTGAGTGGTGGCTCTTCCACAGTGTTAGATGATACTATTGCTCTAGCCCCCAGAATGGAACTTCTAAGGCTTTAAAAGACCAGGGAAAGTTTATTATTTTTTTGGTGGTGTCAGGGATAGAACCCGGAATCTCACACATGCAAGGAATATGTTCGACTGCAGAGCTACATCTCCAGCTTAAGATGGGGAGTCTTAAAATCAAAGACTTCCAATTTGTTAAATGGCTCATTTACCTACAAAGAAATCCAGATTGGGAAACTAGGAACAAGTGGCATCTGGAGTAGCAGAAATAATGTGCCAAAGTATGTGTAAAGTGCCTGGGCCAGGGAGATCTAGTTGTGGGGGTGGCGTTCCCAAGTGGTGTTCAGGAGGCCCAGAGCCGCCTCCTGGTGATCCTTGACCATCCAGAAAGGTGGTTCACTGCCAGGACTCAAGGCTGTGGTACAGCTCTATCCCACACGCTCCAAGAGTATTGTCTAAGGAGGTTCACAGTGCAGAAAGCCACTCGAGTATGAAGACAATCAGCAACAACAACAACAAAAAGCAGCCAAGGCTTTTTGGGCAACCCAGGTTGGGCAATCCCAGTAAGTCTCCACAGGAACTCTAGGCCAGACCAAAATCCTAGGCCATGCCACACAGTGGCCAGGAAGCCACAACAGGACTGATACTTACTTTGTTAAGGAACTCCCTCATCACCTGGATGAAGTAGGGCATGGCCAGGTCCACCAGGTTGTGTCTCCAGGCCAGCTCTAGCACCACATCTGGGGGAAGCAGGTCGTAGCAGGTGAAGAGAGTGGCACCGAAGCACTCCCAGTTGCCCTCCTCCAGGAACCACTGCAGCAGCTTCTCGGCCAATTCAGCATCCCGTGACTCCGCAGCATACTGTATGGCATCCTGCAAGCGGGCAGAAGCATATTCGGGTCCCATTCTGCCTCCAACTGGCAAGCAATGGGAGTCTGCGGGACTGCTCTGGGGTGGCCATTGAAGCGGGGACAATAGTTGTGCCAGTGAAACCTGCTAAAGGCCAGTCATCATGATCATGCGTGGCTGGTGCTCAAAGAGCAACATGACTTTTTTTCGTAATGTAAACAGTCCCTAAAAAACTCCCTGGTCACAATTTTTAGTCCTTACCTGCTCTTGTCAGGGCACCAGCCTCATCAACCGTTATCAACTCAAAGTAACCACTTCAAGCCACGTGTGTCCCAGTGTTCCTCAGTGGTCCCAGACTCCCCCAGTGACTGCCCTGTCTAGCTGGTTCTCCAGGTAGAACAGAAAAACTCAGTGGTCACCTCTGCTGCACACTCTGCTTATGAGAACCGGTGTCTTGAAGACCTTACATGAACCACAGCAGGACATGGAAGCTATGATCCAGCTGGCAGTGGCTTCCTTCAGGTCTGTCTGAGCCTCTGCTTCATCTTCATCTAGGGCCTGTGCTTCAGGTCTGTGTGGTGTGATCGCAGAGCTTTGGTGGCATTTTCTCTCAGTTCTTACAAAACCATCAGCACTTTGCAGGAGCTAGATGCCATGTAACAGTCCCAACCAAGAGGTGCCAATTTGGAGTGAAGTACAAGAATCTGATATCAAGGATCTCTGGTCCTTGTGCTCTGAGAGGGAGGTTCCTACACTGGGCAGAAGGCAGCAGCTGTCCATATATTCTGGGAAGGAACTCAGGATGCTAAGGGATAACCCTTCACATAATGCTCACGGCCTACAGAAAGGGGCCTGGGGAGGGCTGGAGCAGTCGTATGGTAGGGTGTTTGCCTTACATGTTTGCCTTACATGTGGCTGAGCCGTGTTCGATTCCTGGCAGTCCATATGGTCCCCTGAACACCACCAGGAGTGATTCCTGAATGTTTCTGGCTCTGCCCTGAGCATTGTTGAGTATGGTCCCAAAACAAAAAACAACAACAAAAAAGGGGTCCCTGCGATTCCCAGCACAGGAACCCTTGGCTCACAGCATATGACAATGAGGGGTCTCCCATGCAGCTGCACCTTACCCCATTTGAGAGATCCCAAAGCCAGGCAGAGGACAATGTCTTCAGTGCCCTGGTCTCTCCAGGTGACCTGTCCTGAACAGCAGATGCCCAGCCCTGAGGGTGGCTAAGGCACCACATAACGGAAGAAGCTGTATTTTATTGTTTTGGTTTTGGGACCATACCTGGTGGTACTAAGGGTTTTTTCCTGTTTATATGCTTATGGTTTATTCCTGGTGGGTGTGGGGAACCGATCAAATCTGGGCTGGCTGCGTGCAAGGCACATGTCCAGCCTGCTTTACTATTGCTCTGGCCCCCTAATTTAGTTTCCTTATTCCCAATATCTGGACAGGAAGTAAAGCATGTGCCAAGTGTCCTGCTACACTGAGTTAGGGGAGAGTGAAAAATAAGTAACTGCTTGTGGGGGAAAATCTCTGGGACAAGAATCAACACCATGAAAGCAAGTCCTCTCTCACCCAGCACCACCTGGCAGTGCTTGAGCAGGGCTTCTCCTGCTTCTGAACTTAGAGATCAACTCCTGGTAGGGCACAGGAAGCAATCATCAAACCCAGGTTAGCTGTGTGCAAGATAAAGCACTCTACCTGCTCTGTTATTTCTTCAGCTCTGAGAAGCAAGTCTTAAGATCCAAAATTTTTAGGGGCTCTAAAAAGCTCATCTAGATTGCTTCCAACTCTGACCTTTGTCCTGAAAACACTTTTTCATTAGCTTCATCTTCTCTGTCTTGAAATTACCTATCCCGAACCCAGATCATCAGGGAGACCGTGGTGGTGGGGCTTGGGACTAGCTCTGCTGTGGCTGCTCTGCATCATGACACTGACCTTGTAGAGATGGTCCTTCTTGCAGAGCTCCACACTCTGGGCCCACCGATTGTTGCCTTTGTACAGATAAGCAGCAATGCGCCTGAACTCAATCAGGGGGTGCTTCTCCAACCGCTGAGCTAAGGCGATGCTATCGAAGTTGTCGTAGGCATCAATAGATGACCTCAAGCCCTAGGAGGTGATAGTCCTTCCATGAGTGAGGGACACAATGGTGCATATACCAGGAATGATTCAGTGATGGCTGCTGCCACCATGGCCTAATAAAGGAGATTCCTGATCATCTACCCAAACTGTCTCATGGGGTACACAGTTCCTCTGGTGCAGGGGAAGCATGTGGAGAACATGCTGACCTTCTGCAGGAGTGGCTTTCCAGGTCCCCAGGACACAAAGATAGCTGCATGAGTTTCTGGGGCATGGAAGAAGTTGCTGCCACCCTGACAAAACTTTTCCATACACACCTGAAAATCTTCCTCTTCCGTCAGCAAGTGGTTTAGTGCTTCATTCACACTCTTGTTGTTGTGGCTCTGGACTGAACGTAGATAAGGTTTCACCAGGGGCAACTGACCTGCCTGACAAGTCAGGAGAACAATCAGCCACTCAACTAAGTTGTCATGAAAGAGCAGGGCTGGGGTCCATGACACACTACTGGATACAGGTTTCCTCTGGAGGATGGCAACAGGAAGCCCTTTGTGCAAGCACACATAAAGGGCTTCCTGGATTATTCAGTACATATTAGTTTTATTTTTTTAATTAAAAAAATTTTTTTTTTGCTTTTTTTGGTCACACCCGGCAATGCACAGGGGTTACTCCTGGCTCTGCACTCAGGAATTACTCCTGGCGGCGCTCAGGGGACCATATGGGATGCTGGGAATCAAACTCAGGTCGGCCGTGTGCAAGGCAAACGCACTACCTGCTGTGCTATTGCTCCAGCCCCACATATTAGTTTTTAATACTGACTTTCTTTTTTGCTAGAGATGGTAGGGGTTGGTGCTCAGGGGTTACTCCTGGCTCTGCACTCAGGATTACTCCTGGTGGTGCTTTGGGAACAATATATGGGATGCCAGGGATTGAACGTGGGTTAGCTGAGTGCAAGGCCAGCACCCTACCCACCGTACTATCTCTCCAGCCCTCAATGAAATTTCTTGCTGGGAAAAAAAATCTAAAATTATAGCAGTGGCTGGAGTGATAGTATAGTGGGTAGGGCATCCCTGGAACCCTATAGGATCCCCTGAGCCTGCCAGGAGTGATCCCTGAGCACAGAGCTAGGAGTAGGCCTTGAGCACTACCAGGTGTGGCCCAAAAAGCAAAAAGAAATTATGATTATGATCTTTAGATTAACTGGGAATCAATTTCAAAAATAATGTTTTAAAGTTTTGGGCCAGTTTACCCTTCTCAGCTCTTGGGATTCTAGCTGATTTACCTCTGAAAAGAAGCCAACAGTCCGAGTGTGGTCTAGCCGGGGTGCAAGCACCAGAAGTAGGTCATTGATGAGCAGAGGTTTGTATTCTAAATAGAACTGCAGGGCCTTATAACAGAGTTCCACATTGGCCACCTGTGGGTGAGGCAGACCCAAGGTTCAAACAATTCCCATTTATGGAAGTCCCAGACACCTGCTTCCAATGCCACACACTTCCACTGCCATACTTCCTCTGGATTTTGCTCTTTAATAAATGCACTTCATTAGTAAGGCTGGTGGGATGGCTCTTATAAGACTAAGCACTATACCAACTACCCCCTTTCCACTTCTGAAGCATTTTTCTTCTCAGTACTTCCCACCCAACAATCAATCGAACAGGCAGGTCTTTATCTCCTGCCCCACCCTGAGTCCATTCTGGTTTCTGACATGAGGTCAATGCTCAACCTATATCTGCTGAGGGAATAAATGACCAAGTTAGAATAAACTCAAACACCAAAAACATGGTTTCATTAAGTAAGATCTCCCTAGCTCTCTTCTGAAAGCTTAATATGAGCTGTGAGGATAATTGCAACATGTCCTGTTACATCCCCACTGCTGTGGAGCTCACAGTGGGTGGCCTCATTTAGCAAAGGACTGGGTTTCTCTTGGAGGAGCCTGTGCCCACTGTTCCAGGTTTCAGCATCTGATCAGCTATGGAGTCTGTTTGCTGACACACTCTTGACAAATTGTCCTTGCTCAGTATACCAGTCAGGGTCTTGCTGATCTTGGGGACTAGTGTAAGCAATAATGTGGGTATCTATCTGAATATGTGGATGCAGGGCACAGGTCACAGAACTTCCCACAGCCATGCTGGGCTGAGTTCGATGGTAGCAGTATGGGGCCCAGTGAGGTGTGCAGATGAGAAAGCAAGGAAGAGGGAAGAAAACTAGACTCTGGCTAGTACTGACAATGCAGTGCTGCCTCTCCACTCCTTAACTAGGGCAGGGCACTTGGCACTCTCAGGATATAGCAGTTTTCCAGCCCTCTGGAGGCAAATCCATTCTGGGGCACTGATACTCTATGGAGCTACATGCCAGGATGGAAGTACCAGCAAGGCCATGTCCACTTGCCCTGATGTCATACTGGATGTGCACTTTGTCTAGTGAGCCCCGACCCAGAAATAGGGCATCACTCCTAGTTGATGCTCAAGGCTGGAGAGATAGTTCAGGGATGAAGAAACCTGGCTTGTATTCCAATAACCCTGGTTCAAGTCCCCAGCATTGAATACAGTCCTTTGTGCACTTCCTGGGATCACTCCTAAGAACAGGGCTAGAAATAGGCATTTACCACCACCAGGTGTGGTCCAAATACCACAACCAAGCAAAGAAAATAGAAAGGCAATGCTCAGAAATTCTGTGATGAGTTTGCTATTTTGTTCTGACTCCTGACATTCATCACACTGTTTAAAAGAAGCAACTATTGTATTCCAGGAACCTATCATTGATGACTTGGCTGGTAAGAAGCATATATTATGCCCGTGTTATCAATGGGATAACTGAAGTTCAGAGCAAAGATACTTAGCTCAAGGGGAAAGAGACAAAATTACTCAGCCTTTTGCAATCCAGGTCTCCCATCAGCAAGCCCCTTGCCTGGTCCTCCTGTATAGGAAAAACATCTCTTGACACTGGCTACTTAAGCTCCCACACAACCATGATCCAGAGATACAAATGAACCTCAGACCTGAGCAACTTGCTGCAGAGATGACCCTGGACTTTGCATAGGCCCTTTCCGTGGGGCTGCTCCAGACGAGGGCAGGTACGGTCCTTCCACCTTTAGGAGCCCCGGTGACTGCCATTTTCTAGAAGTCAGTGACAAGCTCCAGGTGCAAGTGGCAGTGGCGGCAGATGCCTGGCCTCACGGGACAGGGGAGGAGTGAGCCCTTCTCCTTCCCCCTGCCCTGAATGATCCAGAGACACACAAACAAACCTCGGACCCAGCAACTTGCTGCAGCGATATCTTCAAACCCTAATTATTAAAAATTTAAAATACCTAGAGAACGCAGCTGCTCTTGTGGTCATGTGACATTATGCTGTATCCATAACAAGCAATACAAAACACATTGTCTAGCATTGCTTTTTTGGCATGTATGAGTGCTGGTGGGACTGGTCTCGAAATATTGAAGGTAACTAAAGTAGAGAGAGTATTGTGCAAATTGCCACACAGGCAGAGGGAGGTGTGGAATGGGTGTATGTGGGGGATACTGCGGATTTTGGTGGTGGAAAATGTGCACTGGTGAAGGGATGGGTGTTTGATGACTGTATGATCGAAGCTCAAACATGAAAGCTTTGTTACTGTACCTCACGGCGAATCAATAGAAAATAAAATAAAATAAACCATATCTCTTTAGTAAGCATAGTGTAGGTATTGTCCCCTCTGCCTGAGCCATCAGAACAACCTGTGACCTGCTGTGACGAGGCAAAGACCTGCCTCTCCCCCAGCTAAGAGCTGATAGGAATTTTGTTTCCCAAGTGTCAGGGAAGAAAAGGCACAGTGTACACACTAATAAGTCTTGGTCACTCCCTACATAATGCTTTTCTTTTTTTTTTTTTGGTCATATTGAGTGATGCTCAGGTCTTACTCTGGGCACCATTCAAGGTGACCTCATATGAGCCATCACAGAACACATCAATTATTCCTGGACAACTGCCCAAGTCACCAGTAAGAAACAGAAAGCACCACCATCAATTTTAAAATACCCACGGTTCTGAATTAATGTGAAAAAGCAGTCCTATGTTCAGTCAGGCATGGTTTCTTAGCAGTTTTCCCAGTGTGCTAGAGCATGGAATATCATTAAAATTAAAAAAAAAAACCAAACCAAAGAAACGCAATTATTTTTATTTAGCTCCATTTCCTTCCCTGACCCAATTCTTTGCTTGACATGAGGTCACACTATGGGTGCTTGACTGGGCTTGCACACTTGGTGGCAGTGTCTACACGTGTTCACAGAATTTACAGTCTTATTTGTGATGCTGGTGAACAGTTTGGTTGTAATGCTTACACTTTAATTGTACCCAAGACATACTAGGTGATCTCAAATAGCAGAGATACTGGGATTGCACTTGGGCATGTGGGTAGTGCAAGGGATTGAATACGAAGCCTCGACAGTCCAAGATTTGCAAGGCAGGCACTTTTATCACTGAGCTATCTCCAGGCTACCCTAAGTACTGAAATATTTGATTTTCCCATCTTTCCACTGGAAACCTACAAACACTGCCCTGGGTAGGACTCCCATTAGAATTCCACTAGCTTCACACTACAGTGTAAACATCATATATATATATATATATATGATTGTATGACACATGACTTCAGGCTGATTCTTCTAACAGCTCCCAGTGAGAGCAGACACTGAGATCAGACTGTTACCCATACTTGCCCTCAGCAGCTTCTATGGCACAAAAGCACAAAAGAAGCAGCAGATACAGATGGAGAAGGGACTTTGCCCATACCCATACCCATGAGTAGTAGGACAGACATAAGGCAGAGAACAAACAGGACTGACCAGTGGAGAGATTACTTACTCAGGGCCATTGGACCAAAATGAGGTACCTAGTATAAGAATATGGGGACTGAAGACAGAGCACACATTACTTCACCCCATACCATTAAAATAGCTCAAAGAATGGGTTTCTTAGAAGATGGGCCCATTAAGAGACAGAAACACAGAACAGCAAAGGTCCACATAGTAGTTGCACCCAACCCGGACACCTTCTAATGGGTTATGGTAGAATAGCTCAGAATCCTAGCTTAGTAAGACACTACAGAAGGAGGCCAGGGAGATAACTCAAAGGCCTGGCATGTGTGAGGCCCTGTGTTACATCTTTAGTACCATATTCCCCACTCCCTAAAAGTAGCGCCAGTGTAGACAGCCCTAGAGGCTCACAAACACTGCCCCACAGAGTGTGACTCTGGTGGACCTCAGCACCCCTAGGTCCACATATCGTGGCACTTCTGGGCCCAAGAACTGAAACTACCAAACTTAAGTACTGTCAGGAGTGGCTTCTGGGCTTCTGAGCACTAAAGACAGTACAGGAGGTTCCCCCTGAGAAGTATAGGGACACAGAGACAGCAGATCTAGGCTTGTACCTCTAACTGATGAGCATTTACAGCACCAGTTATATGCTTGTAACTCCTCTGGGGTTGGCAGTTTTAAATACATAAGGGAAAAAATGGCAGATAGTAAAAAAATATAAGAGAAAGGGTGGTAAATAGGATTAGAGGCTGCCCAAGCTGACAATGTAGAAAGAAGAATAAACATCAATGTCTGATTGTAGATTACGTGGATGTGAGGACAAGGGGGTGGAGAATGAGGTCCTAGAGAGCTGGAAGGGCAGTGCAGTGCAGTGGCACACTGTTCTCCCCTTAGCCAGTTTCTGTGGAACCTTAGGCCAGTTTCTTCTGTGCAAGTCTGACCCCCACCAATTCCCAAAGAATGGCAAGTCACATGAGAGAATGCAATCAGATCCTGAAGCATACACACCGGACAGGGTTGGTAGAGGCAGGCAGGAACTAACGCTTCATTGTCCTCTTACCTTGGCAATGATGTCTTTGAACTGTCCTTCTCTCCAGGCATCAGCAGGGTGATTGATCATGGTGAGGACGGCACTGTCATACTCCTCATACTTGTCATAAAGGAACACCAGCTCTGCCCAGAGGTGTGCCTGCTCTACAGCTTTCAACACCTAATGGGATGACCATGGCGAAGAGTTGGGCTAGTGCCAGGCATGCATATAGCAGCCAGAGCCTTGAGAAGGTCTAGTATACATACCTTCGGGATGTTGACACGGGACCAGAAGAGCTCCAGGTGCTCTGGCATCTTCTGCGGCTTGAATTTGGAGTAGAGGATAGCCAGTTCTGTGAATATGCCCATATGGGCTTGCTCCAGGCCCAAGGCAGCTTCTAACACAGAGATCAGCTCTTCAAAGTAGCCTCCATCCTGACAGACCAATAGCATGCTTAGGGTATGGTCAATGCACACCTAATGCACAGCTACCCTAAGGCACAGCTCATTCCAAAGTAGAAGCGGGTTGCTCAAACCGAATGATCTCACAGAGGTGTGCAGGAAAAGAAATGTGGGCCTGAAACTGTGTCATAGTACTTAGCTCGCCTTACTTAATACAGTTTTCAAGTTTAAGTATAAATCACAATAATCATTTTTATAAAAAATTACAATAACCAAATCTGGTAGTACGGGTGTGAGTGAGCTCAGGAGATTATAAATTTTTATCTGTTTCCATGGCTCAATTCAATCCTCTGAAACTCTGCATCTTGCAAGCCTTTCATTCTTCTTGGAACACCAATAAACTCTCTTTACTGCTACCTGACTGTATCCTGACCCATTCTTTTCCTTTCAGATTCTAAAATCCCCACTACTAATTCTAATTCCCTGGTTTCTAGTCCCAACTTCCCCTTGTCCGAGCATTATGCTTATAGTCTATGACTTGCTTAAACTCAAGATTGTCAGCCTTCAGTTTAACAAGCACAAACCTCCGGGTTTCACTCTGAAGGAATTTCATACCTCTATTCCCTCACACCTTGTCTCCACTCTCAGCCAATAATTTTGCTTCTGTTTCAGAGGGAAAATTGGAAGAAAATTCCTATGCCCATTCCCCTACTAGCCAGCACTAACCCTGCTGTCTACAGGTATACAGGTCTCTTGCTTAGAGCCTACCTCTGGGTCCAAGGCCTACTGATTCCTACATCCCAGAATGCTGAGCAATAGCTTTTCCTTTTTTCTCTGTCAAGCTTTCCTTTAGCAAACAGTCTGATACTTAATAAATATTTTTTTTTTAACATGTCTGCCACCATTTTTCTACACCTCAAAAGTGCTGCTCCCATTCCTTTTTGTCTTCTTGGAAGTCCATCAATCAGTCTCTCCTGCTTCCAGACTCCTACACCAGTGACTTCCATCCCACTTTTCCATTTTTCATCTACCAAGCAGTAGGGCCCTACCTACCTGACCATCCTCTCCTGGGTTTACATCTTTTCACTAGGCTGTTTGACTTCATTTTCTTGGTGTTCATTCCTTATTCCAACTTAGCATGGGTCTCAGGCATCTTTATTACACTCACCAATGATCTGATTCAGTTTCTAGTTTTGTGCAACACGTGTGTGTGTGTGTGTGTGTGTGCATGTGTGCTGCACGCATGCACACAGGGCTTACTCCTACCCGACCTCATACATGCAAAGGACTGCTCAGTCTATTGAGATATCTCTCTGGTCCTTTATGAAGTATTTTTATGTCAACAATTCCCATTTTCTCTTAGGTGGGTTTCTCCATTGAACACCAGACCTTCTTCCTCTCTGTCTCCCTAATATCTCTACATTGACACCTAGTTGGAAGCTTAAACTTAGCATGTCCAAATTTATTATTTTTTTTCAGATGGAGAGGCCCAAGTGGTGTTGAGATGTAGGAGCCACTCTCGGTGATTTTCAGTTAATGAGGGCAGCAATTCAGTGTGAAGGCCTGAGAATGTAATGTTGCTTGTATGTTGCAGTGTAGAGGATTACCTGAGCTAGCTTGGCAGTGCTCAGGGATCTTTAGGGATATACCCAGTGATGCTCAGGAGACCATGTGCTACTGGGGATGAAACCAGGTTCAGTTATGTGCATACCAGGCACCTTAAGCTCTGTACTATCTCTCTGATCCCCCAAATTTAACTGTTGTACATCCCTTCCACATGGTTTCACTTTTAGTCTTTTCCATGTTCACTTATGATTTTTTTCTATTTATAATTATTCAATTAAAAAAGTTAAGAAACTTACCCTTAGCTGTGAACTGTGTGTTAATAGGAAGCTTATCATGGCAGGGAGCCTGAGGGGAAAAAGGATGGGGATGGGAGGAACACTGGGACAATGGTGGAGGGAAGTAAAGGATGTGATGCTGGAATGTTTATGTATAAAACCCTATCATTATGAGTACTGTAAATCATGGGGTTTATTTATTTATTTATTTAGTTATTTGCTTTTTGGGTTACACCTGGCGATGCACAGGGGTTACTCCTGGAGGTGCTCAGGGGACCATATGGGATGTTGAGAATTGAACCTGGGTCGGCCATGTGCAAGGCAAAAAGCCCTACTCTCTGTGCTATCTCTCCATTCCCCAAATCATGGGGTTTAAATCAATCTACTAGACTATTAAATGGCTGCAAACTCAAAACACACCCTATATCTGAATCACATAGATGTTCTCCTTCCATCCATACAACTTCATACCCACCCTAAAAAAAAGTCTGTTTTCAGTACTTGAACCAGAATTGCTCCTTCTGCTTAGGTCTTATGCCCAGTCATCTAAGTCCTTCCGGATGGCTTGTGGTTCTCTACAATTCCCCCTCCAGTGCTTTTCCTTGAATGTGTGATCCCTTCCTGCTCTAGACTCTGCCTGGTCACTGAACCCTTCCTCAAGTATTCTCACAACCAGACTCTTAATTTCCCTAGGTCTCTACTCAAATATTGCAGTCTCAACTACTATTAATTTGAAAGCCCCTTTATTGAGCTCTATCTTTCAGTCCGTGAACCTGCCAAATTTCTTCCATAACTCACCACCTTCACTTTGTTGCCTTGATTTGCACTGAAGGTAAATTCAAATTAACAGAATTATTCACTCAGAATTTTTCACTGATACAGTGATCTATATTAATGTCTAGCACTTTGTAAATGCTTAGACATTTGCTGAATGAAATTAAGCATTCTGTGACTCTCTGAATGACCTTACTACTTTTTGTCTTGGCTTTATAATTTCTTAAACTTTTTCTTGTGCGGGTATACCACAAGAAAAAGTTTAAGAAATTATAGGAGATCAAAGGAGATCAGAGACTATTTTTGATTCTGTGCTTGGGAGTGACCCCTGGCAGAGCTCAGGGGATCATATGCAGTGTCAGGAATCAGAATGATGTCAGCTGTGTGCAAGATATCTTCTGTACTATGTCTCCAATTCATGTATTGAACTTTTTTTGGGGGGAGGATGGGAGCTGCACTCAGTGGTATGTTCAGGGCTTACCCCTTGCTCTGAGCTCAGGAATCACTCCTGGTGGGCTCGAGGGACCACATGAGGTGCCAGAGGTTGAGTCCAGATTGGTTGCATGCAAGGCAGGCCCTACCCGCTGTACTGTCATTCTGGCCCCCATTTCTCAAACTTCTGAGGAAAGCATGTGTCAGTGTAAAGTTATCACTGCCTAGCTTGATATTTTGGACCTTGATAGCCCCTACTTTCACAGGCTTACAAAGCAAGCAGGCTTGTCCTGAGACTTCCAGGCTAATGTTCCCTCAGTTAAGGGATGGCAGTATGATTCCCATGTAACATCACACTTTTATTCTGTCCTGAGTGATCTATTTTGTATGACCACATAGATATAGGACTCCTTAAAGCAAAGACCCAGGCGTTCAACACTACCAGCCACTCATCAGGAGATAAGACATTAAGATGGAGAGCCCTTTAGCCTTTAAGTTTCCTTGAGGTCTTACTCCTACTAAACTGTTGCTTACTCTTTGTCTCAATAGCATTGAACAATCACACTCTCTGTGAGCTGCACGCTCCAGGGATCTAGCATTTGTGTTTTGTGATGTTACTGGCTGTCCCTATGTGCAAACCATGGATTTCTAAAAGATCTGCACTTCTAAAAGACCCATGGATACAAAAGAAGAGGGGGGTACTTTTAAAACACAAAACACCAATAGCAATGAGGCATAGGATATGCCTCTGCTTCATGGCAATCTGCTTCATCTTAGATTATCTAGTATAAGAAAAGACTCTCCTATAATGTTTTCTAAATTACTTACAGATATAACAAAGTGACCTTATATGCAAAGGTGAGGACCATACCTTTATTTTCAGTGTTTATTTGTCACTCATTTCTATTACCAGCAGAGATCATTTGTGGCCAGAATCTAGTTACCTGGTAATAGCAAATTAACTCTTTCAGCTCATCTGCATGAATGACGATGTGGAGACCACACAACTGTGCAAGGCGGAATTCCTGTCCATCCACACAGGCAAAGCACACCTAGAGGGAGGAAAGGCCATACATGATTGGCCCTGAGAAGGGGACCCAGTACCGTAATAGTTGGCTACTGAGCATGCATGCAGAGACACCAGCAAACTGGACTTCTTCAGCTGGATTCTCAGCAAGTTAGATAATTGTAGGATAAACTATAAGCCACTAGGAGAAAAAAAATACTGATTATTTCTAATCTGCAGGTCAAGAGAATGAGAAGGCAGAACATACATTAATTTAAAGTTATGAGATATGCAGGTCTCTTTAGATGAAAGGAAAGTCATGCTGGAATTTCAGATTTGGGATCTGAACAGAGTTTAACAAATCTCAAAAATCATCATCATGTAGTACATTTCATATGAGTGTTGTTACTTGGAAAGAGTTGCTTTAATGATTTTTTGGAAATAAAATAAGTTAGAGAAATATGAAGAGGGAGAAAGTATGGTGTTCTAAAGAGAAGATGGGATTATCTAGAAGGAAGACAGCTTTAATAATCTTAAATCATGTATCTATTCGATGTACTGCACAGTGTGCACATCTTATAACAATAATCCTACTGTGTAGAAGATGATACTGATCAAAGAACCCAGGAGGGGTCTTGAGTTGTATTTTTAATTTTTAAATTTTGTTTTTATGCCACACTGGTGGTGCTCAAGGATCACTCTTGGCACTGCTTGGGAGCCATATGCCATGCCAGGGATGGAACCAAGATTGAACTTAGATCCTCACACATATACACACATGCAAGGCAAGTACTCTACCATTGAGCTACAACTCTGGCCCACCTATTCATTAATAGCAGGGTAGAGTCACAATGTAGATGTAATTGGGGGCTGGAGTAACAGTACACTGGGGAAGGTGCTTGCTTGCATGTAGCAGATCCAGATTTGATTCCCCAACATCCTATATGGTCTCCTAAGCTTTTCAGGAGTAATTCCTGAGAGCAAAATAAGCCCTGAGCATTGCTGGATGTGGTCCAAATCCAAAGCAAAAACCAGATAAAAGAAAAAACCCAAGAAAATCCAAGAAACCAAACCAAAAAAACCAACAAAAACCCATGATATGTAAATAGCAAATGTAGATATGATTTAATCAAGGCCTTGATATTAGATATTTGATTAATTTTATTAAATAATGCTTCAAATATTGATTGAAGCTAAATATATTTTTGCATATCTCCTCACATTATTTTTTTTAACTTATGATTCTGACTCTATAAGAACTTCAAGTCACTTTGGCCCAGACCACATGTGGAAATATCTGGACTGTGTGGCCGCATATGCCATGTATGAGGCAGCACAACACCTCCTGAAGCAATAAAAAGCTTAATAAATTCTTAGACAAGGACTTACCAACCAACCCTGTAATTTGATATAACAATGTTCACATACATTAATTTTTAGATCTATTATTAATACTGCAACTTTGTTATCTGTCAATTTTAATCCTAGAACTGCATCAGGAATTGCCACTTTTCTCTACATTAAAAATCAAAAAACCAAAAAACCAAAAAAAACCCAAAAAATAACTTCAAGTCAATGTCTTTTCCCAATTTACCAAAAAGACTAATGTCAATTTATACTAATTATTCTACTTATAAGGTGCTATGATTAAAACTATTCTTCGATACTACCTGTAATACCAATAATTCTATGCTTTTAAGACAACTCTTGGGAACTAATTGGTCCAACAAGAGAGTGGGGGTGGTTTCCACAGGCCTTTGCATCAATTATAAATGTCAGCTTACAAGAATCTTCAAGTAATCCTAGGGAGCTCATGTCAATTTACAAGGATCTTCAAGTCATCCTAGGGGGCTCAGAACTCTGACTGGACAAGGTAAACACTGAGATGCATCATGTTTGGCACCACAGTGTGTAGTACAAAAGAAAGAAGAAGAGATGGTTTATTGGTCCAGAGTTCTCCGGGAGATTTTGTAGAAAAGACTTCTTTCATGCTTACCTCCATCCATGTCCGTGTGCTGTTTGCCTTGCGGCTGCTGTCCACTGCTGCCTGATACTCACCAAGGTGGACCAGGGTAGAAGCCAGACCGGCAAAGTTAGAAACACTGCTATATAGCAGCTTAGCAGCTTCATACATTCCTTCCTCATAACAGCGGTCTCCAACCTACAGACAACGGGGGAATCCCACTGAGTCCTTCAGTGTTTAACTGAAGTTCCCAGGTTGGTAAGGGCATTTTCTGAGTTTGAAGAAGATAAGCAGAACTTTTTTTCACACAAGTAGCCTGGGCTATTGCAGAGCATCTAGAGAATAGAACATGTTCCCCAGCCTCCAGCAGCTCCTTATTACTTGCTCCTGGGTGTACTCGCTGTTATCTCCAGTGAATCTACAAGCTATGTTCCTTGTAGTTTCTTATGCCCCTTGTAGTTTTTGTACCCTCTTCCCCACTTAAAAATCCACCGAGGAATCCATTCAGAGATCCTACCTCTTTCCCTGAAATTGTTACCTTTCTGACTTTCTCTGCTTTGAGGATCTCTCTTCCTTTTAATAACCATGAGAGCTGCCACCCTGGGAGTTTTGGTACAGGAAACCATGTCTTCCTGTATCCTCTCTTACTTCCTTTCCAGTTTAATGCCTTGATACCCCCACAATTGCTGACTCACAATCTCCTACCTGCATCATGCCTATACTCCTATTACTAGTTCCTCAGTCGTGCTTCCTTGAAAACTCAGTCTTTCTTAGAGAAATTCACAACATAGGAACTACGGGGCTAAACACAGGGAGCTGGGCCTCAGTGGTCCCTCAATTTTTTGTTTTTGTTTTTTTGGGGGGATACCCAGAAGTTCCCAGGGATTACTCCTGATTCTGGGCTCGGGGCCACTCTGGTAGGGCTCAGGTCGACAAATGGGGAACTGGGATTAAATTCAGGTCACCAAGTGCAAGGCAAGCACCATACCTGCTGTACTGATTACTCTAACCCTTATTCCTCTTTATGAAGAATTCCCTCCCCTCCATAATGTTATCATTGGTGGCATATGGGAGAGCTATTGATTTTCAAGTATCTCTGACTTCACCATGCTGCTCACTTTGTTCTCTCATAGCAACAGCTAGAACACATGCACAGAGTTCGGACACCTTTTCTAGGGGAAAAATTCTGATACCCAGGGCAAAGAGCAAGTGAAGATAAAGGTTTCTTAATTTCTATACCAACTGCAGCAATAAGGACTTTACTGTGTGACTTATTTCTCAACAGTATAAATCTGTGCCACTCTAGGAAGTGATCTTTGAACCCACCTATAGCAGTTTACAGTCACTGGGGTGGGTTGGGGAAAAAAAGCCTACCTGTTGTATGTGGGCATTGTTGGGTCCGTTAATACAATCTTCTAGCTCAGAGAGACGATTGGTTTTAGCCAGCGCAAAAATAAGTTCAGTCTCTATATAGGATTCATGATCTTTTTTCCTGGCCATCTGTAGGAATTTAACCAGATCCTCCCAATTGCCTAAAGACAGAAAACAAAAATAGGTAACCAACCTATATTTCTAATTAAACAGAGAGTTCAACTTCTTCCATTCTGTACTCAGTCAAGACAATGAAGGTTCTACTCTACCCCACTGAGGGTTGGAGATCCAGGTAAGGTCCAGAAGATCTTTTTGTTTTGGGACACATCTGGCAGTGCTCATTACTCCTGGCTCTGTGTGGTGCTCAGGGTACCATATGGGGTGCTGGGGTCAGTCAATCCAGGTCAGTCATGTGCAAGGCAGATACCCTATAGCAGTACGATTTCTCTAGCCTCCTAGAAGGTCTTGAATTTAGTTGATTAAGCGAAACCCTAACCTACGCTGAGAAAAAGGAGGTGAAAGAATCATACAAAAACTGGCCCTGCAGACAAGAACTTCTGTCACCAAGTAAAAAAATTCACCAGGGGAAACGGATTTATTTCTAGCACTAGAAATAAATGGAACCACAAACAAATAGAAAGACCAAGAGTAACTCTGGCTCTTAGACTCTAACTCTTATAGACTCACAGACTCTAGACTCTAACCTCAAAATTATTATGATAAGAACAAACAAACACTGTGTTTGCTAAACTGGTCCCATAATGATGGTAACAACTATCTGAAGAGCTAGTGTTATAAACAGAACATCATGCTCTCAGACTCTAGAAAAAATAATTCTTTATTTGGGTGTGGGGGCACAGGGGTGGTTAGTGCCCACCCCGTTGTGCTTTGGTTTATTCCTGCCTTTGTGCTCAGGGATAATAAATGACAGGACTTGGGGGATCAACCAATGCAAGGGATCAAACCTGGTCAGTCATGTGTAAGACAGTCACCTTATCCACTGTAGTATCTCTCTGGCCCCCAAAAATTTTCACTTAATTGTGTCTCTGGAATCTCTGGATACCTAGTGTATATAAATTCTCAGGAAGGTTACTTTGCTTCACCAGGCTTGAACAAAGTGAGAAGCAGATTTCAATGAACAGGAGGATCACTTACTATTCCTGCTGGCTGTCTGAACAACCTCTAGGTAAGAGGCTGGGTCATCAGCTCTGATGTAAGAGTCAATGGCTTCCTTTACTAAGTCTTTCTGGAGCTGGGCTTGGGCCAGCTGACTCCACACGGCAGGTTCATTGCATCTCTCTGCAAATTCATAGGCTCGATCTAGGTTTCCAATGTGCTCAATCAGGACCTAGAGGTACAAGAGTTCTCAATTCTCCATTACAGCCAGGGAGCTATAGGGAACAGTTGAATTTATTCAGTTTCATATTCCACCTAAAGTTGGATCACCATTTTGACTTAAATCAAAAGCAACGGGACACTAAGTACTTATCAGATGAAAGGAGAGAAAGGAAGAAAAGTTTTTGTTACAAAGGGAGGAGAAAGTCAAATGAGAAGAGACATGCCAACAAAGGAACAGAAAAAAAAATGAAGAATGCTAAATTAAGCCTTCTGGATCAGAGATAGGAAAATAGGTTGTCTCCTTTCTTGGATGGACATAGTACAGAGGGCACATAGGCTGTAATGATTCAAAGGAGCTGCTACGGGGAATGAGATAGTACTTCCAACAACAACAACAAAAGGCTTCCAGACCAGCCTCAAAGGTTGAGCAAGGCCATAGCACATATACGAATAGAAAAATAGGGTTCTGAGATCAGAAGCAAGCATAAAAAATGATTAAGAAAGGGGCAAGGAAGAAAAAATGCGGGAAAGACTTTTCAAATAATTAAAAAAGTTTCAAATAATTAAATCAAAAGTTTAAGTCATATTTTCTTGGGTACACGATAGTTATGGAAGTAAAACCAGAAAAGTCCAAATGGTCATAGATGAAAGGGATAAGGATTAAAGGAGGAAAGTTTATGGTGAGGCTGAAGATAGGCGGGAAGGCTGGCTGAAATATTCATGTAGATGAAGGGACTGGCTCAATTATCTGTGTGAGAAACTCAGAAACTCAGGCACTCTAGTCACCCTGTGGAACACAAGCTCTTATTATCTAATGCCAAGGTCCAGGAGAGTTCTGGATAACGTCTAGGAGGGGTGGGAGATAACAGAAAAAGTAGAGAGGAAGCCAACAAGCTGGGAAGATCTTGGGTAAATAGCAAGGAGCAGAGCAGAACATGAAAATCTGAGACACGCAAACAACTGGAGGTTCTCACACCCTTGCCAAAAGTAAGGACCCAGTATGGAAAAAGGGGCTAAGATCTAACACAACAACATTCAGTAGCTCACCTGGATTGCTGAGGCATTCATGTCAAACTTGTGAAAGATGGTGAATGCCTCTTCATACAATGCACTGGTGATGGCAATGCTTGCAATATCTGGGGCATCATAATTGTCCAGGCGAATGATGTAGTCCATGACTCGAGTGCGGTCTACCTTGATAGCAGTCAGGATTAGCAGATTCTGGAGATTCCTGAGGTGAGGGGCAATTATTAGGGTTTCACAGGTATAAAGGTGGTACACAATACTCTTGGTAGCCCAGCCAGTGCTAAACTTCCAATTTTATGTTTTTTTTTTCTTTTTTTCAGGTTCCAGGCCATACCCATAGGTGCACAGGACTTACTCCTGGCTCTTTGTTCAAGGATTGTTTTACTTATTTTTAATATGGAGCGACAGCACAGCGGGTAGGGTGTTTGCCTTGCATGCAGTCGACCCCGGTTCGATTCCTCTGTTCCTCTTGGAGAGCCTGGCAAGCTACTGAGAGTATCTCATCCACACAGCAAGCTACCCGTGGCGTATTCAATATGCCAGAAACAGTAACAACAAGTCTCACAATGGAGACATTACTGGTGCCCACTTGAGTAAATTGATGAACAACGGACGACAGTGCTACAGTGCATCCTAAGATTCGGGGCTGGGTTCAATCCTGGCACCCCAATGGCCCCTGGAGCCATACCAGGAGTGATTCCTGAGCACTGATCCTAAGATTCATTCATTCATGCTGTTGTATAGTATTTATTTTCACTGCCACATCATCCTTATGATGGTAACAGAGTACTTTATTAATGGGTAACTGAGTTGCTCTCAGATCTATGCTATAGAGAAGCAGAGATCAATGGATCTATGAATAACAGAAAACCACAGATCACAGATCAAGCTGCTCTGAATATATCTGGACCTGTCTCCTGATACGCATGGGCCAAGTTTCTTTGGGATTTAATTTAAGAATGTAAATTACATCTAGCAAACACTGCTTTCCAAGGTAATGAGAATCTCCAGCAGGGCACAAAAGAGGCTTAGTTGCTTGACAACCTCATCAATGTTGATTAGGAGTGCTAGATCCTACTGCTTTGTAGGAGGAAAAAGACAAAAAAAATTTCCTGTCTTTATTTTTTTGTCTGTTTTCACTCTCACAAAAGGACTGCTCAAGTGCTTTTGCAATTTTCTACAGGGCTGAGTTTTTCTTTCAGTGAATGTTCAAACACTGGCCTTCTGATGGCTACATTATGTATGGTATCTCCCTATCTGTAGCTTCCCCTACCCCTTTCATCTTCTTCAATGATAAAGTTTAATACAGTTCTATGTATCAGTTTCCACAAAGGGCTGAAGATTTGTTGTAGCTGTTATTGGCTTAACAAATAATTAGATCATGGAGTTGGAGATGGGTAGGATATTGGTCTTGCTCAAACCAGGTTCAAATCTGGGTACAGGATTTTGTAGGGTGTTTGCCTTGCATGTGGCTGACCTGAGTTCAATCATTGGCATCCCAAATGATCCCCTGAGCACTACCAGGAGTGATTCCGGAGTGCTGAGCCAGGAGTAATCCCTAAGCATCACAGGGTATGGCTCAAAAACTAACTAACAAAAGAGGTGAGATTATCAGGAGTCAGTGATAGTACAGTGGGTAGGGTGCTTGCCTTGCATGCAGCTGTCATGGGTTTGATCCCTGACATTCTGTATGGTCCCTAAGCCCTGCCAGGAGTGACCCCTAAGTGCAGAGCCAGGAATAAGATCCTAGTACAGTATGGCCCAAATAAAACCTAAAACACAAACAAACAAAAAACCAAAACCAAAACCAAAAATATGATGTGAGATACCAGGGTTGGAGAGATAATTCAGGGGGGTGCTTGCCTTGTACGCAGCTGAACTGCGTTCGATCCCTGGCACCAGATATGGTCCCCTGAGCATGACTAAGTAATCCCTTAGTGCAGTTAGGAGTATGCCCTGATCACTGCCAGGTGTGGAGAAAAAGAAAAAAAAAGAGGTCAGATACCCAAAACCAGATGTTAAGCTACTGACATCTGACCAAGTCAGCAGCTACTACAGGCACACTCTCACCTGAACTCACTGAAGACAGAGTTATCTAGAACAATCTTCTCCAGCAGTTCAATCAGTTCATTAGGGAGGTCAGCTGTTTTGAAGGCCTTGACAGTGACTGAAACCTCTTCAGGATCCTGTATTTCTGATAATGCTGTTTGTACCACCTGGTTTGAAAATTTGAAAGAACTTGGTTAGATAAAGTCAACTGAAAACTGTATCTGTAGCACTGTCACACTGTCTCCCTGTTGTTGGCACCAGTAACATCTCCATTGTGAGACTTGTCGTTACTGTTTTTGGCATATCGAATACGCCACGGGGAGCTTGCCAGGCTCTGCTGTGCAGGCGGGATGCTCTCGGTAGCTTGCCGGGCTCTCCGAGAGGGATGGAGGAGTCAAACCTGGGTCGGCCACGTGTAAGGCAAACGCCCTACCCGCTGTGTTACTGCTCCAGCCCGAAAACTTTTATTATTATTATTATTTTTATTAAATTTTTTTAATAGTGAGACATCATGAGGTACAGTTGCAGACTTACACATTTTTGTGCTTGGGTTTCAATTATTTTTTATTTATTTTTTTGCTTTTTGGGTCATACCTGGCTATGCACAGGGGTTACTCCTGGCTCTGCGCTCAGGAATTACCCCTGGCGGTGCTCAGGGGACCATATGGTATGCTGGGAATCGAACCTGGGTCTGCCGCGTGCAAGGCAAACACCCTACCTGCTGTGCTATTGCTCCAGCCCCTAAAAACTCTATTTTACAGTTCCCAAGTTAAATAGAAGGGAAGGATGCCTATAAGACAGTCTGGGAAGATCTTTAAAGGAGTCAACTGCAGCTACTTTCCTGTTTTCTGTATTTTTAACAATTACTTTTCCACATATTAGAGGGGTATATTACATCTACCCCAATAGCCACATTTTTTAAATTAACCTTTTTGGAAAGAGGGGGATTTGGTGCACTATCTAGAAGTGTGCAGGACTTACTCCTGTTTCCATGCTCAGGGATCTGTCCTGGCAGTTCTCAATAGACCATATGTCATACCAGGGATCAAAATTAATTGGCCATACAACACCCAAAAGGAGAGAGAGAACAAAAGGGAATGCCCTGCCACAGAGGCAGGGTGGGATGGGGGGTGGGAGGGATACTGGGATCTGTGGTGGTGGGAAATGGGCACTGGTAGAGGGATGGGTATTTGATCACTGTATAACTGAAACCCAAGCACAAAAATTTGTAAGTCTACAACTGTATCTCATGATGTCTCACTAATAAAAAAATTAATTGGCCATGTACAAAATAAGTGCATTATCTGTTGTACTATATCTCTGGCCTCTAAATTTACTCTTGAGGAATACAGTCTACTAAACAGGTAGTTGAAAGGTATATTTGCTTTTTTTTTTTTTAAGCTACTAATTGTAACAAATACAGCCTCTACCGTGGACATCATAGGGGCCTCCAGAGGCTCCTGCTAGCCAAAAGCATTAACTGCTGTGGTGGTCCATCATCTTGTGAAACAGACTACATTCAAAATTCTTGAGCCCTCAGCATTTTGGGCTTAGTGCCTTCCTCCAGGAGGAAGATCGACATAGGTCTGTCCACACTGCCTCTTATCCAATTATTGGTGTCTAGTCTATAACATATATAAGTATTGGGCAAAATACTTTTTAAAAAAATTTAATCACTGTGAGATAGTTACTAAGCTGTTCATGATCGGATTTCAGTCATACAATGTTCCAACACCAGTCCCTTCACTAGTGTACATCTCCCACCACCAATGTTCCCAGTTTCCCTCCTGACCCTCCCACCTCTATGGCAGGCACTTTCCCCCTTTCCTTCTCTTTATTTCTGGCTCTCTCTCCCCCCTCCATGCTTTTTTTTTTCTTTTTGGGTCATGATGCACAGCAATGCACTCAGCAATTACTCCTGGCGGTGCTTGGGGGACCATACGGGATGCTGGAAATCAAACCCGTGTTGACCGCTTGCAAGACCCACTGGGCTATCGCTCCAGCCTTTTCCCCTCTCTCTCTTTCTCTCCTGTATCTCCTCTTTCTCCTTTTGGCATTATTGTTTGCAATGCAGGTACTGAAAGGTTATCACATTTATTCCTTTACCTACTTTCAGCACACAGTTCTTTTCTTTTGCTTTTTCTGGGGAGGATCACACCCGGTGATGCTCAGGGGTTTCTCCTGGCTTTACACTCAGGAATTCCTCTTGGTGGTGCTCAGGGAACCACATGGGATGCTGGTAATCAAACCCGGGTTAGCTGCATACAAGGCAAATGCTCTACCTGCTGTGTTATCACTCCAGCCCCTCAGCACACAGTTCTTACCCAGAGTGATGATTTTCAATTATCACCACCATAGTGGTTCCTTCTTTATTCCAACTGCTTTCTCCCCCAGTACCTGAGGCAGGGTTCCAAATGTGGACCAATCCTCCTAGCCCATGTTTCTACCGTCCCTGTGTATTAGAAAAGGACTCTTTTTTTTTGGATTTTGTTTTCGGGTCACACCTAACAGTGTTCAGAGGTTGCTCCTGGTTCTGCACTCAGAGAACATTTCTGGCTCTATGCTCAGAGGACCAGATGGGAAGAGAACCAAAGTTGGTTGTTAATGCCCTACCTGCTGTACTATTGCTTGGGTCCCTGGACAAAAAAATAATAATAATAATTTACGCTAACTATGCTTCCCCAAAAGTCATAGGTTAGAACATCAGTGTTTTTTTTTTTTTCAACTTTTCCAGGGACCTTTAGTAACTTCAGATTATTTATATTTATTTATTTTGTCAAGTTTCTGGTGCTTTGGCAATTAACTTAGGGAATAACAGTGAATTAGGGGAAAAAAAAACAGAACTGAGGAGTTCTGACATTGCTGTTATAGATGTTTGGTTATGAACTTTACCCTGAAGAACTTTAACAGAACTAGGACCAGAGTTAGCTTGGTCTACTTTTTTTTTTTTTTTTGCTTTTTGGGTCACTCCCAGCGAAGCTCAGGGGGGACCATAAGGGATGCCGGGAATTAAACACAGGTCGGCTGCATGCAAGGCAAATGCCCTACCCGCTGTGCTATCACTCCGGTCCCTTGGTCTACTTTTCAAATGGTCAGCATGTGCTCAATGAAACCATAAGATGCAAAAGCTCTACTTCTGCAAAGTTCATAACAATTGCAACAGGCATGCAGAAGAATTCGAGAAAGGGTGCTAACTAACCTAAAAGGGCATATTTGAGGGAAATAGCCGTGATACCATCTACTAAGCCCATCCAGGTTAGGAGATGCTTTTGGGAGGGCATGCTGTATCCAACTGTCAACTTCTAAAAAGTTCTGTCATTTAATACCCTGCCACAGAGGCAAGGGGGAATGGGGGGGGGGAGGATGGGGGGTGGGAGGAATACTGGGACCCGTGGTGGTGGAAAATGGGCACTTGTGGAGGGATGGGTGTTTGATCATTGTATAATTGAAACCCAAGCACAAAAATTTGTAAGTCTACAACTGTACCTCATGGTGTTTCACTAATAAAAATTAAAAAAAAAGTTCTGTCACTTAGTGGTTGTTTTAGGGGGAAATGCATTTTTAGCTTCTATTTGAGCTGATACGATGGTCATTGTAAGGTTACCTCAGGTAAATGCTTCTAAGTAAACTTTTATGGTTCTTACTCCAGACCTAAAAGCAGTCTGCTACTGACATCATGCACTCCCTGTAATTAGAGGAGAGGAGCACTGCAGGCAAATATGCCCCAGGGTGCGGCTATAAATATTCAGACACAGCATACATAATCAGAGGACTAAAAATTCACATAAACACAGGGGATCAAGGGCCACAAATTGGCTTTTGTTCAGCAGTGTTAAAAACTTTTCTCCCTGGTGCCAAAGTGTCATAATCTATAAGACACACCAGGTGCTGGACCAAACCTGGAGAAATATCTCTGAACATGAAGGATTATCCACAGTGAATCCAAATGTACCAAGTCTTTTTTGCTCAGTGTTGTTCTTGGGTTGGATGAAATATATTAAATACTCAGGTAAATCCAAAAGATGGTTAAACTCATTTAATAGTCAAAATAACCTGGATATCCACTCATCTAAAAATGTTCTGGGCTGGAGCGATAGTACCTCATGTAGGGCATTTGCCTTGCACATGGCTGACCCGAGTTCAATCCCCGGCATCCCATTTGGTCCCTTAAGCAGTGCCAGGAGTAATTCCTGAGTGCAGATACCAGGAATAACCCCTGAATATTGCTGGATGTGACCCAAAAAGAAAAAAAAGTTTCAAAATAAAAATTTAATAAAAAAATTATGGCTAGGTTTAAGAATAGCGATCGAAAAAGAAGAGCACAGGAATTAGTACAGACAAGGTTAGAACCCAACCCTCAAGTTTAAACTCATATGCCCAGTGAACTGGCAATGTGTCTAAGGGAGTTAAGTGCTTAATTGATAGCTTGGGGCAGAAGTCCAATTATTAGAGGAGGGTTACTTTTCTCCAGTGGTTTCAACATGCAGCAGCCTAGGGAACAGTGATGGAAATATTGGAAACACCATCTGCTAAGGTTTGATAGCTGCAGGAAATGTGCCAAGTGACCAAGGTTGACATCTACCTACCCAGCAGAAGCTAGAAGAACCCCTGGTTGAGAACTGCACTCAAGTTTCAAGAAGTACTAAAGAGTAACAAGAGTATATAAGTTCCTTAATAAAGGGAAGTATAGCTGAGATAACTTTAGACCCTTTAATTTCTGTCAACAAGGGCTAAGCTTAAAAAGTATTAAGGATTCAAGGCTGGGGAGTTAGCTCAAAGGGTTGGAATGTGAGCCTAGCATGTACCAAGTCCCGGGTTCGATTCCCAGTGCTAAATGGCCCTGAGCACCACTGGGTATAACACACTTGAGACTGAGCATCACTTCATTGTAAGGCCCAAGCATTGAGCCATTAAACCTGCAGAGTCCAGCAAGTATTTTTGGGAGTGGTCCTGGGCCCCCTGAGCAACTGCTTGAATAAAAACAAACAGATAAAAAAGGATTCAGTATACATGCAACTCATTCAATATTCCTTTCACTGGGGCTAAACATTCCTATTCAAATGCCAATACGCCCTTAACCAAAAGACAGGACAAAATTAACTTACTCTTGGGAATCAAAACCATTTTTAAGCAAGCCACTACAGGAATAAGTGAGCAGTGAAAGGTCACAAAATTTTAGGTCCACAAGTCACCTGATGTGCAAGAAGATCCGAGAGCCCCCACCAACCCCACCCTGCCTCCCATATCCAAGACCTATTTTCTCTCTTGCGTGCACACACTCTCTCTCTCTCTTTCACACACACACACTCTTAAGGGGTACACATTCTGTACCCCTTAAGACCCTGACCCCACATAATCCAGGCCTTATTTCTGTCCTTCACCTGGTCAATCAGCTGTCTTCTGGATGAATTGGTCTCCTGGAGTACATGCGCCCAGAGCTCTGGATCCTTCCTGCGCACCAAGTAGCGAGCCTCACTTTTGAATAAAGAATTCTCATTGCAAACCTGAAATGAGCATATTTGTGTGTAACATAAACAATCGACCAATGGAAGTTTTCTTGTGGAACCCACCCCAATTAGTTCCCTTCATCTTAGACAATTTGGTGAAGAAACAGAGCCCCAGGAACATGCAGTGCTTTAATATGGGACAACACCCTAAGGTTAAAAATGCACCCTTTAGGGGACAAGTGACCTGAGAGATCCATATTTCAGTGAACAGCTACTTAAAGTGGACGTGGCTGCATCATAACATAACCATTGCTTTCAATCAGCACTGTGCTGGCTGGATGTAGTAGTAGAGCATATGTTGTGCAAAGACCTAGATTTGATCCCCAGAATTTCATGCTATCCCCAGCATCACTGAGTGTGGCCTTGGTGGCCTCTGAACACTGTTAGAACTATACTGCATACATGAAAAGAGGGAAGCACTGCCCAGACTCTCTGAGGTGATTATGATCTGTCTCTCTAATGGACATCACTAGCCACATGGAACTACTGAGTACTTGAAATGTAATGTATGAAAAAAGTAGGTTTTTAATTTTAGTTAAAGTCACATATATCTTGATCACTTGATCACTTGATATCCCATTACTCACTGATTTGCTCGAACAGGCGCCAGTAAAGTCTCCATTTGTCCCTGTCACGTGCTAGTGTAGCCCAATGGTGTCTGCTTGCTACAGGAACACAAAGAGCCTCACACTGTTTGATCGAGTTCAAATATGGTGTGAACCATGGGAACACCTATAAAGGCAATTAGAGGCTGCCCTAAAAGCCTCCTTCCCTCTCGAAGAGCCCAGTAAGTGACCGACAATATCCCGCCTGCACGGCAGAGCTGGCAAGCTACCCGTGGCATATTCGATATGCCAAAAACAGTAAACAGTAAAAACAATGGGCCTCATTTCATGAACACATATATCTATCTCTAAATTATCTCTCAGGTGTTCTCCAAAATAACCAAGGCTGATATAAAATAGATTATGATATGTTTCAAGATTTTAAATATTAATTTTTTTGTTTTGGTGATTCTCAGGGGCTATTCCTGGCTCTGCACAGCAGGAATCACTCCTGGTGGGTTCAGGGGACCATATGGGAGAACCCGGGTTGATGCAAAATAAATACCTTATACACTATATTATCATTCCAGCCCCTGAAATATTCATTTAAAACTTTAAAGTATGCTTTCACTTGGGAAGGACTTCCCTAAATGTTGTAAAACACCTCAAAACAGAACAAAACAAAAACCACCCAACTGTCCACTGGAATGTCCCATATTGTGAGCCTGGCAGGAATCAGTTTCAAGCAGATGGGCACAAAGCTGATTGTGTCTGCAAATTCAAGCTTCTCAGATGTGTTGGGTGGAGGACAGAAACAGTGTTTAAGAGCCAACCTTAAAAAGTGTTTATTTTTTCTTTTTCACTAGACCTTAGTCTTACTTAATGTACACATCACTTCACAGCACAGACAGGAAAAGATCTCCAAGCAGTTGCTGCACATTAAGAAAAGGTGTAAAATTAACCATAAGATAATGTATGGTAGAAACAAATATCCCAGTTACATGCATACTGATTCACCAGACGCTGCCTAGGTGAGAACTAGGTCCCAAACTGGTGTGTCATTTCCATAGTTAGTGTCCCAAGTCAGAGAATGAGAAATTGAACTCTTTATTTTTGGCTGTTTTGAAACCTCAATAAATTCCTTTTCCAATTGTTGAGTTTCTACCATGTTATCGGATGCTCTGGGGAACTGCAGGACAATTGCCTATAAGCAGCTTACAATCAAACAAGCACCATTTCTGGAATTTTAGGTAACAACAATTCAACCTTAAAAAAAGTAATTAAATATATGTAGGTTCAAGCCAAGGTAGAAGTAATCAGGAGGCTCTAGAATGTTCCCAGAAGGCATCAAAAAGAGTTATGGATGGCAAGGAGAAGTGAAGAGGCACATGTAGGATGTTATCTGAAGAAGGGAAGCAGAAGTAAATGGGAGAAGGGCAACCAATGTGGAAAGGCAGGAAGTATATCGTTAGGCTTGTGCAGAAGGGGAGCAGAGGAGCTCCCAAGTAAGGCTAAGAGGTTGGCTTTTGCCCCAGAATGCCAGGATTCTAAAGGAAGGGTAATAGATTAGAATCAGGTTGACCTGGCCTACAGTTTCAACATATATAATCTGAAGAAGAGTGTCAGAATAAAGAAAATACCTCATGACTTGCCATCCAGCAGTTTAGCGATGACTCTCGTCAGCTCCCAGAGCATAATCTAAAACCCTACTCTAGGAAGTCATAGCAACTACTAGGAAAATAGGCACAACTGCTACCTACCTTGATGAGCTCAAGGTCACACTGCCCTCGCTCATAAGCCACACAGGCCAGATGTGGGTCCCGCTTCTCACAATAACGGCCAACAACACGACTGTCATAGTGGGAGTTCTCTTTCAAGAAGCGCTCAGGGCTGCTGTTGCTGTCAATATAGATCTTGGCGAGTGCATTGTGAATAGCAGGTTCTTCGCAGCCTTCATGACTCCAGGACTCCAGCCAAGGGAGCAGAAGTTTTAGCCTTTGAAAGAAGAAAGAGCACTGAAAACCTCCAGGGCAACCTCTGTACTTGGAAAGTTGCTTCTAGGGGAAAAAAAAATCACTCATTTCATTAACTTCAGATTGCTCAAGGAACCAAGACAGACTTGGCTACCAAATTAATTTAAACTTTTAATTTATTTTAATTGATTATAATTATAAATGAATTTATTTATTTTCCCCAAAGGTTTTAGTACCAACAACAAATAATGTACCACGAGTTCTAAGATTTATTATAGCAAAGACCGACTGTGATGACAGTGGTAGGGCTGGAAGGTTGAATGCAAAGGGATTTGAGAATCAGTCAGACTTAATAACAAATACTAGACCCTAGAGGCAAGGGAAGGTAGGGAACATTACCTGTTTCTTTTCTCTACTTCATCCACCAGCTTATCTGTAGAGAACTGTCCTCTCACTACCATGATCAAGTTTTTAATTACGTCTTCCGAACAATCCACATCAAGCAGTCCTCCAACCACATCTGGGATCCGACTAGGGTTCACCTAGAATGATCAAGATGGTGATTTTACTGCTGCGCACACAGGTCACTGCAACAAGCTCTCAAGGCTTGGGAGTACAGTCCTCTGACAGGGTTCCTATGAAAGACTACATTGTATTCCCCAATTCACATTTCTCTTTTGAAGCCCTAATCCCTGATGCAACTATATTTGATATTAGGGCCCAAAAGGAGAAAATTATGGTTAAAATGAGTCATAATGCTGGGGTCATAATACAACAGAATTGATATCCTTAGAAAGGAAGACAGAATAGGGGAAAATAAGGACAGAGGAAAGGAAAGTCCACCTGTGGGTAGAGCAAGAAGGTAGCCATCTTCCAAGGAGGGTGGCCTCGGAAAGAAATGATCCAATGGGAGGACTGAATTTCTAAGTTCTAGAACTGAAAAAAATTAATTTCTATCATTTAAGACCCTCCCCCCTCATTTGTGGGATTGCTGTAGCAGTTCAAGCTGACAAAGGTAATACTCTTCAAACTAGTATCTCAGACACATTCAGAAGTCAGAAGCAGTCCCTCAGAAGCCTTGGTGTCACTTGAGAACTAGTTCTGATGATTCCAATAGTACCTTCTGAACGTAGATCTCGATATACTTCTGCAGGTTGTTTTGATATAAGTACAGGACAAGGTCATGTACAAAGTCAAACCTATCACACACGATGATAAGAGGAAGCTGATCAGTGAGTTTGGCCTCCTGTGAATAAAAAAATAAATCAGATAGTGATGGCTTGGAGTAAGAATGGCACTGCTTCTGCAGCGGAATGACCAGGTAGGAGAGTCAGGAGGAGACTGTTATGTCATTTTAAGGTATTTGCTTTGGGGAATAAGTGGAAGATAATAGTATTTGGTTAAAGAAAAATAACTCAGGTGCTGGAGTGATAGCACAGCGGGTAGGGCATTTGCCATGCATCCTATATGGTCCCCGAGCACTGCATGAGCCAGGAGTAACCCCTGTGCATTGCTAGGTGTGATCCAAAAACTAAAAAAAAAAAAAAAAAACCCCAAAAAACAACAAAAAAAACCCTCAGATATTTGGCAATATGATACTAAATTGGTTTATTTTTTGTGAAGCAAGATAGTTTTTATTGAAATTTATCCATAAATATGTGATGGGAGAGAAAGAAACAAAAAAAGAAAGAACATAATTTTCAAGAGATACCATAGGTTTCCTCAGAGTGAAATAGGCAAGCAAAGACACATAGAGACAAGGAAGTGTGATACATGTTTAAGGGAGAACATGGGCTTGAAGAGCAAGCCACCAAATTGGTTTAAAACCAAACATCTTTTTGGTTAAGCCATGCAGCTCCTTATGCATGAACCTGATTCAGATCAGGCAGTACAGAGGGAGCTGCTCTCAGGAAAATATGGCAGGTAAATTCCGCCTCTTCAGACCAGCAGTTCTACCCCACAAAACATGGTTGTGGCCTTGGGTGCTGGCATCCAACAAAATGCTTTCCACACTGGCCACTGACCACAATCATGTTTCCCTTGTACTATACCCAGAGAGCATTTCCTAGGCTCTCTGGCACCCTCTAGTTTTGGGTGGGCTACCACAACCTACTTTGCTCTAATGGTTGTGAACAGAATGTTGAGTGCCACTTCCAGGCCTCATCCATGACAACTTCCCAGGCCAGTTTCTTCATACCCTTTCTTCTTAGAGAGGCAATGTTCAGGGTGATGTACTGAATATGGGAAAGTAGCCATCAGCCTGGACCTTGAAAAATGTTGAGAAAAAACTCTTCCACTAACCTCCAAATCCACCAAGGAATTGGTGGTTTTTTTTTTTTTTTTTGTCATTAGCACTAAGTAATTTGTGTCTGTAAGCTTGCCCAGCCTAATTAGCAGAGCACAGTTGGGGTGTTTCTGAAATACAATGCAGCAAAACATATAATTCATTCCACTCACACATCAATAATTAAAAGTATAGCTATAAGTTTTACACAAAAAAGGGGGTGATAACCAAGTGGCTCTCTAAAGAACTTTAGACACTAAAGTTATCTGCCATAAAGAGCTCTGCCTAGGGGCTGGAGCAATAGTAAAGCAGGTACGGCACTTTCCTTGCATGTGGCTGGCCCGGGTTCAATCTCCAGCACCTCATGTGGTCTCCGAGCCCAGCCAGGAGTGATCCCTGAGCACAGAATGAGAAGTCTTGAGCATCGCCACGTATGGCTCCCAAACAAAACAAAGCAAGAAAGAACTATGCCTTGAGGAACTCAGGGAACCCTGTCAAATAAAATCAGCATTTCAGTTCTTGAGGCTGATGTACTCAAGGAAGGGACAATGATCGAATATACTCACTTTCAGGAAGTTCTTCACCCTTTCAGGATAGTAGCAATTGCTCTCTCGGCATATCCTCTCCACCTCCTTTATCTGTCCTGTCTTGCAGGCGGCTTGAATGTACTTGAAGTGCACATCTGGATCTTGGCTGAAGTTCACAATTGAGCCCAGGAAGTAGAAGAGGCCTACGAAGAGAGACTGTTCTATCTTTTGCCCTCATATTATACTAAACCTGTCTACTCCACAGTCATAGCTCATCTATCCTTAATATTAATAGCTCAGTCCCGAACAACCTTGCTCAATTCTCTAAGTACACAGATACCACTCGGAACTTATCACATGCTTTGGTAAAGTAAAGTAAAGTAAAGTAAAGTAAAGTAAAGTAAAGTAAAGTAAAGTAAAGGCCCTCCCGTTGATCATCGATTTGCTCGAGCGGGCCCAGTAACGTCTCCATTGGAGACTTTGTTGTTACTGTGTTTGGCATATCGAATACTCTCGGTAGCTTGCCGGGCTCTCCGAGAGGGGCGGAGGAATCGAACTCAGGTTGGCCATGTTGGCTGCGTAAAAGGCAAACACCCTACCGCTGTGCTATTGCTCCAGCCTTTGTAGAAAAACCGTAAGGCAAATAGTAACACTTAGCAGGAGGCCTGGTTGGTCAGAGGTTGCATGGTTTACCTTCATAACTCTTGAAGGATTCAAAGAGTTCCACCAAGGACTGTGTACCCAGCTGCTCATGGTATTTAGAGGCAACCTGAACACACAACTGAAGGTTCTGTCTAATGTTGGCAGACAGCAGAGCACGCAGACATGCCAAAGAATCTTCCACTGATAAAGAACCAAAGAAGCTGACGAGCCACTGGGAAGTAAGAAAGAGATTAGCCACAACTACACATCATTTTAGATGCTTCTAACACTGATGATAAAAATGGAATGTTCCCTTTCCTCCCTGCCCCAACGAGACCCCTGGTTGCTGCCCACAAATGGCCTCTCTGGCTCTTGATCAAGCTGCTTAACGGCCATGATCCAAGAGACTCAGAAACAAATCTCAGAACCCAGCAGTTTTTGGCAGAAATGCGTCCTGTCCCTGCAGTAGGTTACAGGCGCTGGGCCTCCCCCCAAGGGGGAAAGGGTGCTGTCCCTCTGCCTGCTCCCCCTTGGCAGCTCGGTGGCCGCCATCCTCTAGAGGCCATTGGACAGTCAGGTTTGGGCCCGCAAAACACATGGGGCTTCATGGGATGGGGGTTGAGACGGCCCTTTCCTCCCTGCTCCAACTAGATCCTGTGTCGCCGCCCACGAACGGCCTCTCTGGCTCCTGATCAAGCTTCTTAACGGCCATAATTCCATAGACTAAGGAACAAATCTCGGAACCCAGCAGGTTTTGGCAGAAATCACTCCAGATTTAATTGTTAAAATTTCGGAATTCCAAAATCATGTAGACACTACTGCAACCACACGACATCATATATTATTCATAACCAGCAATAGAAAACAAATTGTCTATGGTTACCTTTTTGGCAGATCTGAGTGTTGGGGTAAAATCCCAAATAATAATGGTGTGTCTGGGGTCGAAATATTGAATGAAATCAAAGAGAGAGAGTAGAGAGTAATGTGAAAATCATCTACCCCACAGATAGGGGGAGGGTGTGGGATGAGGGTTATACTGGGGTTTTTGGTGGTGGAAAATGGGCACTGGTGAAGAGACAGGTGTTTCATCATTGTATGACTGAGACTTAAACCCGAAAGCTTTGTAACTGCTCTCACAGTGATTCAATAAATAAATTTATAAAAAAAGAAAAAAAAGTAAAGTAGAGTTCATGTCCAATTCAATCAGCCTAATCAATGGCTGAATAAATAGCAATACTCCTACATTAAAAAAAATAATTAAAAAATATAAATATTTTTTTCCTTTTGGGTGGCAAAAGTGTAAATAACTATTGCTTAAAATAAGGACTGTGATATCTAGTATAAAAATTAACACAAATCAATAACATAAAAGAAACCTAAATTAAAAATGAATAGTCCCAGACACATGGAAAAATGCTCATTATCATTAATATGCAGATGAAAGCAACAATGAGAAATCTTATTACTCACATTCATGAGAATGGCATGTATGAAAAAATCCTGGCAGGCTAGAGCAAGAGCTCAACAGGTAAAGGACATGCTTTGCATGTAGGAGGGCCAGGTTTGATCCCCAATAATATAATATCCTCTGACTATCCCTGGGAGTAACCCCTAAGCACACAACCAGCAGTAGGCCCTACATACCACTAGGTGTGCTCTTAATCAATTCTCCCTTGGCAAAATTGGACTGGGAACAAGTACTGGAGAGGATACAGAGAAAAAGAAACCTTAGGCTATAGTTGTATTACAGGTATGATGCCTAATTTGCATATGGCCCTCAAATGGACCCCATATGGTCCCCTGAGCACTACTGGTGGGAACACAAATTGGTATAGTTGCTATAAAAATGGTATGATTATTGCTTAAAATACTAAAAATGAAAATACGGTAAGATCTACCCAGGGACCAGAGAGATTTTTTTCACTTACACTTTTACAAGTGTCTTACCTGTTCCAGCAGGTAAGACACTTGCCTTGCACATGGCTGATCCAAGTTTGATCTCCTCTGAGGATATGGCCCTCTGAGCACTGCCAGGAGTGATTCCTGAGTACAGAACCAGGAGTAACTCCTGAGCATTGCCAGATGTGGCTCAAAAACAAAAATCAAAACAAACAATTCAAAAACTAACCATACTACCACTAGGCATTTAACCAAATGCATGAGAATACAAATTAAAAAGGATATTTACACCTCTTCATTCATAGCAGCAATAAACAGCCCAAACATGGAGAACTGATCCACACTATTGAGTTGATTGGGAGTGGTTAAATGGAAGAATGTTGGGATCCTTGAGGGAGGGAGGTGGGTACACTGCTAATGGTTGTAGTCTTGAAATTATATGCATGAGAAACCATTAATAGTATTGTAAACCACAGAATATCAATTAAGGGGAAAAAGAAAAAAGAGGCCGGAGCAATAATATAGCAGGTACTTGCCTTGCTTTGCGTGCAGGGATCCGGGCTCAAACCCTGGCACTCCATATGGTTCCCCTGAGTGATCACTGCTAGGATTGATGCCCAAACACAGTGCCTGGAGTCAGCCCTAAGCACTGCCAGGTGTGGCCCCAAAACCAAAATAAATAAGTAGACTGAAAAAAGAAAACAAAAAACCAGGGCTGGCGCCATAGAACAGTGAGTAGAGTTACATGCAACTGATCTTGGTTTGATCCCTGGCACCCCATATGTCCACGAGCCTCACCAGGAATGATTCCTGAGTGCAGAGCTAGGAGTAAACCCTGAACATGGCTGGGTGTTATCCAAAATCCAAAACCAAAATCAAAACAAAAATAACCGCCCCCCCCCCAAATAATAGCCCAAACAGAGAATCAACCTCAATGCTGATCAATGATGACTGATTAAAGAAATTGTAGAGTATATACTCAATAGAATACTATATTCAACTATTAAAAAAATGAAGCTGTGCTTTTAGAAGATGGACAAGATCTGAGGTGATTACTCAAATTGAATTAAGTTAGGAAGTGAAGAACAACTACTGAATGGTTTCACTCGTGTGAAATATAAGCAAAACAAAGCAAATGAACAGGCAAAACAATAAAACTGTAACTATGGAAACTACAGTGATTATACTTAAGGGAGAATGGAAGTGGCAGAAAGATAGTAGAGGGCCATTTTGATATTGGGATGCTACTAAAACTTTGGTGGTGAGTGTGGTGAGGCTCAAATACATACAGAAACAGAAGGTGCATTCCTCAAGATTACTCTTGAAATTCTACATTACTGTAAACTGATTAACTGTAAACCAAAGTTTAAAAAAAGGTAAAAGGTAAAGGCCCTCCCGTTGATCGTCGATTTGCTCGAGCGGGCCCAGTAACGTCTCCATTGGAGACTTTGTTGTTACTGTGTCTGGCATATCGAATACTCTCGGTAGCTTGCCGGGCTCTCCGAGAGGGGCGGAGGAATCGAACTCGGGTCGGCCATGTTGGCCGCTTGTAAGGCGAACGCCCTATCCGCTGTGCTATCGCTCCAGCCCGGCCAACCCGAGTTCGATTCCTCCGCCCCTCTCGGAGAGCCCGGCAAGCTACCGAGAGTATTCGATATGCCAGACACAGTAACAACAAAGTCTCCAATGGAGACGTTACTGGGCCCGCTCGAGCAAATCGACGATCAACGGGAGGGCCTTTACCTTTACCTTTACCTTTATGCTATTCCATAATTGAAATCTAGACTACAGTTGCAATTAAGGTTGTTTTTTTTCTTTTTGGGTCACACCTTGCGATGCACAGGGGTTACTCCTGGCTCTGCACTCAGGAATTACCCCTGGCGGTGCTCAGGGGACCATATGGATGTTGGGAATCAAACCCAGGTCAGCTGCATGCAGGGTAAGCTCCCTACCCGCTGTGCTATTGCTCCAGCCCCAGCAATTAAGTGTTTTGGGTTTCTTTTTGTAGAAGGCTTAGGCCACACATGGCAATGCTCAGGGGTTACTGTGGCTCTGCACTCAGGTGTCATTTCTGGCAGTGCTCAGGAGACTATATGGGATGCCAAGGATCCAACTTAGGTAGTCCATGTTCAAAGCAAGTGCCTTACCAGCTGTGCTATCTCTCCAGCATCCCATCAATTAAACTTTTATAAACTTAGACATATCTGCAAAAACTGTTGATTTTAAAAGGGTCTCTCCATTAAACTAAATTAATGATGGACAAAGGGAAAAAGAGGTTATGTAGGCCCAAGCACATAGCTGAACAGGTGAGGGATGTTTGAGGGCTGAATGAGAACTTCTCAGGGTAGAAAAGAGGATCATGCTTAGGGAAGACACAACCACAAACAACAGAAATTTGGGACCATGTAATTCTAATTACCAGAACACAACAGAACATCCCAGTGTGCAACATACCTCGGGACTGAGAAGGTGAGTGTGGACCATAGCCCTCTTGATGTCATAGAGGTCAGTGTAGTGCTCCAATGCTCGCTGCAGGAGACCGGCCTTTTCACACAGTTGGGCGATATGGGCCCGATCATAATGAGTAAACATCTGATTTCCAAGGATGGCATCTGCAACCTATGAAACAGTAAGTTCAATAAGAAAGTTCAAGAACTTTTTTTATGTGTGCGTGTGTGTGTGTGTGTGTGTGTGTGTGTGTTTGTGTGTTGGGGGGGTGGGATGTTTAGGCCATACACAATTGTGCTCAGGGTTTATTTTTTGTTTTTTTTTGGGGGGCATACCCAGAGGTGCTTAGGGTTTCTGTGCTCAGCAATCATTCTTGGAAGAGAATCCAGATCAGCCATGTGCAAGGCAAATGACCTACCTGCTGCACTATCTCTTCAGCCCTGTTTCTGTGTTTAGAGATTGCTCCTGGAGGTGCTCAGGAGACCATACGTGGTGCTGGAGATCAAACCAGGGTTGGCTGCATGTAAGGAAAGGTCTCTACCAAACCAGGGTTGGCTGCATGCAAGGCAAGGTTTTTACCCCTGTACTATTTCTCCAGTCCTGAAAGCAGCTGCTCAATCCTTCCCACCAGAATACAGCACTAGAACTCGTGCACCTGAGGTGGGAATGTATAAGCTTTGACTTGTTTGGCTCTTGCCCACATCCACATTTTTACAGTGACTTAAACTGCTTACAGGTCCCAAACAGTGCTTTTTCTAAGTCAGTTGATACCCAATGTACAAGATTCTGTCCTACTAGGATGCACTGTGACCCTAGCATACTTGATTGTAGGAAGGCTGAGGCCCTACTTTTGAGCACTAATACTGGTTCAACTCAGCCTGTTTTTCTGGCTTTTTATCATATACTTACATAGAATTTTCTATGTAAAGTCAGTTTGAAGGTTTAAGTCAACCATGGGAGCATGTAATTTTAATGACCAGAACACAATAGAACACCCCAGTGTGCAACATATCTTGGGACTGAGAAGGTGAGTGTGGTCCACAGCCCTTTAGATTTCCTTTACTCACCTCAGACTATTAACAGTCAGAACAAGACCTGGAAATAACAAATCCTATTCTAATAGAGTTATCTACTTGGTTAAATGCAAATTTTAGGAGTGGGGAGAGTTCCATTTAAAAGAATAATGAACTACTCGTCCTTCACGTCCTACCAAGGTCACCAGTTGCCTCCCACGAGCAGCTCTCTGGCACGGCCATGGCTCTAGAGGCAAAAGGACTTAGTCCAGAGCCCAGCAGCTTGCGGCAGGAAAGTGAATGGTCCATGTGTTAAACTATGGCGCCATACATCTCCAGGAGGGAAAGGGTGTTGCTCCCTTCTGCCTCCTCCCCCCCCCCCCCCCCCCCCCAGTAGCAAGGTGGCTGCCATCGTAGAGCTTATAGGAAAGCCAGGTATGAACCGGCGGTGATGGGGCAACTGCAGTCTCATGGGAAGGGGGACAGTACCGGCTTGTCCTTCACACCCTACCGAGGTCATGAGTTGCCCCCCATGAGTGGCTATCCGGCACAGCCATAACACCAGATGCACAGAAACCAATCTTGTAATTATCTGGCTCTTTGCAGAAATCCAAAATTGCATGGCTGCTATTGCAACATTATATGATTCCCATAATGAGCTATAGAAAACAAAGTATTTCACAATGCCTTTTCAGCAATTCTGATTGTTGGGGGGGGGGGGGAGAATTCTAAACAATAATGGTGCATCTTTTGTCTAAATAATGAATTTAATCAATGTAGAGAAGAGTTAAGTAGAAATCTGCCTTACAGGCATTGGGAGGGGTGAGAGGGGGCTATATTGGGATTCTTGGTGGTAAAAAATGAGTACTGGTGAAGGGAAAGGTGTTTGATCATCGTATGACCGAGACTTAAACCTAAAAGCTTTGTAACTTTTCCCACAGTGATTCAATAAATAAATATAAGAAAAAAAAATAAAATTATGAAAAAAAAAGTAAGGTGGAGTTCATGCCCAATTCAATCAGCTAATCAGTGGTCGAATAAATAGAGGTACTCCTACATAAAAAAAAATAATGAACTAGAAAAGTTCTGAAGGGGATGAAAAGTGTCTTTAAGTAAATAATCTCTGGGCTGAGAGTAAGAGGAGCACAGCAACTCTGATGAATGATCTAACCCTGTAATCTAACCAGTAGCTAGTTGTGATGAGATGCACATCTGGGTGCCTTCACTGGCCACTCAGCACCCTTCTTTCAAATCCTTCTGAGACTCTGAACACATTTGAACGCACATACATATTAACCATAAATCTATTCTAAAACCTCACTGCTCTGATATTAGAGATTACACTTCAGATTTCCCACAAGGAAAACAGTCCAAATCAGGTACTTAAAGTAGTTTTAAAACATGACATTCATTTACCTTCTACTACACTCATTTTAAAATATTTTTTCCTAGTTACATTAACAGCACAATATACAGAAGTCGAGAGTATCTTGCCCGCATGGCAAAGCCTGGCAAGCTACCAGAGACATATTTGATATGCCAAACACAGTAACAACAAAGTCTCACAATGGAGATGTTACTGGGCCCGCTTGAGCAAATCAATGAACAATGGGGGGACAGTGCAGTTCTACATACAGAAGCCGTAAAACACAGTTTTGCCAAGAAAGAACATCATCTGGACATCTGGGGAAAACTATCCCAGCTTCTGGACAACATACTACTATGCATGTCCACCCAGCTTGCCTTCCTTTGGGTGTCTGAGGTCTCTTTAGGTATGTATGTTATGTTTCTGAGTCTGTCTTTGTTTCTGTTTCAAAGCCCATTTACAAAAAGCTGTCAGATATAATTATTAAGTTGCATCAGTTCAAGAGAACACAAAACAATCAGTACTTTGTTTTTAGAAATGGGATGTGGCACTGACGGCAACAGTAACCTACAGATTTAAATAACCTGGGGTAAAGGAAGAGTATAATTAATGTGTTTCCTAGTAATAGAAAATACCAAAGTAATACATTATAAAAAATTGGAAGACAGATATGAATCCTATTAATTCAGTCATGGTTAACAGCTAACTATAAATTACTCCAAACTTCTTTTCTGAATGTACATCCAAATTTAATAAAAAATCAGCATATACATATGATTAATCACACCTATGCCTCCCCCAACATTAAGCTTAAGAAGTGCTCCATAAAAATATCAAAAACAACAACAACAACAAAATAAGAGCTCACTTCACACTTAATAGGATTGCTATTAAGAAACACACAGGGAAGTATGAACGACAGTACTATGGGCACTTACCTTGCATGCAGCTGACCCAGGTTCAATTCCCAGTATCTCATACGGTTCCCCAAACCCTGTGAGGAGTGATCCCTGAGCGCAGAGCTAGGAGTAAGCCCTAAGCACAGCTGGGCATGCCCTCCCCGCAAAAAAAAAAAAAAACCCTCAAAATTTGGGAAAAACACAGAAAATAATTGGTGTTGATGAGGATTTTAACCAAGAACAAATACTGTATTTATTATATGAATCATACAGAACAGGCAAGTTAATAAAAAATTATCATGCTTTTTTTGGGATTACACCTTGCCATGCTCTGCTCAGGGGTCACTCTTGATAGTGATCTGGAGAACATATGTAGTGCTAGGGATCAAACTGGGATCAGCCACATGCAAGGCAAGTATCTTAACCCCTGTACTATGTAAAGAAAAAGTAAAGAGAAAAAGTAGAACAAAGTTACCAAGGGAAAGGAGAAAATATTGGAATTATCCCTTAACGGGGACAGAATTTCTGTTTGGAGTAAAGAAGTGGTGATGTTATGTAAAACTGCACTTGTGCTTAATACCACTGAATCCCACACTTAAAATTGGGGCCAGGGTGATTGTACTGTGGGTAGGTGCTTGCCTTGCGTGTGGCTGACCTGGCTTTAATCCCTAGCATCCCTTATCACCTGAGTACCACCAGGAGTAACTCCTGAGCATAGAGCCAGGAGTAATCCCTAAATATTGCCAAGTGTGGCCCAAACACCACACCAAAAAAATGACTAAAATTGAGGGCAGGAGACATAGTACAGGGTTCTGGTACTTGCCTTGCATGTGACTGATCCCAGTTTAGTCCCTAGCACTATACATGTTCTCTGAATCACTGTCAAGCGTGACCCCTGAGCAGAGCATGGCAAGGTGTGATCCCCAAAACAAACATGTGAATTTTTTATCTTGCCACTACAAAAGTAAAAGAAATGATAACCCATATGTAAGTTCCTTTGAAAGTCATACAGTATAGATACTGGAAACTATTTGGTGGAAATTCTGAAGAATGTTCACTGAAGCAAGATTAAACCACTGGCATGAGCATTTCTATCCTAAAGCCACTGTGTTTCTAGCCATACCCTAATCCGAAAATTCTTCTTATAGTGAAAAGGGCACTCTGCTCCTGATTTTAGTCTAGAAATGTGGAGCCAGTATGATAGGACAGTGATAGGGCACCTTCATTGCACATAGGCAATCCAGGTGTAATTGCCAGCACCCCACATTTCCCTGAGCTCTGCCAGGAGTAATCCCTGAGCACTGAGTCAGGAGTAAGCCCTGAGCACTGCTGGGTGTGCCCAAAAACAAAAAAAATAGAAATATCACTTGCCTGGGGGGCATGAATCAGGTTCATCTCCAGTAAGCGTGTCTGAAGATGCCCCTCAGCTGGGTGATTATTCTTCAAGGCATCCAACAAGAAGGAAGTACATTGCTGAATTAAACTGTTTTCCATGAAAACATTTACAATCTGAAACAGATTACAAGCCACATTTTTTATTCAAGGAAAATGTTCTATTTGCCAACTAAATTAGTTTCTGAAATTCAACATCATTTAGAAATTTAATAATTCCTTTGCACTTATTCACATAATCAAAATAATGTAATTCATTGTTTATTAGAAACTTTGTGAAACTATATTACCTATGTCATACAAACAGGCATCACAAACAGTTTGAAAGTATGAAAGTAGATTAAAGGAATTAATAATGCAAAATACCTCAGAACTTTCTAAAATAGAAATCTTAACCATATATTAATCAAATCCTAGAGATAGTCAATACTAGTGTCTAGGCCATATTCATCACTGTATTATTCGGAAACATTTGAAAACATGCAAATACTGACTTTGTTGGGCCAGAGTCATAATACAGAGGGTAGGGCACTTGCCTTGCTCTCAGTTCAATCAGGATTTAATCCCTGGCATTCCATATAGTTCGTGTACCACCAGTAGTAATTCCTGAGGTGCAGAGCCAGGAGTAAGTGGGTACCACTGGGTGAGGCCCTTCTCCCCCCCCAAAAAAAACCATACTGACTTAGCCACCTATCATTAAAATTCAGTAAGTGTTAGTCAAACAAATTAAGACTCAATAGGTAAAATATTAACCAATTGTGGTACTTTACATATTTTATTTTTTCATTCTCATCTTCCTCCTTCCTTTTGTTATGACTTGGGATTGATCATACACACACTTGTCTGTAGTGCTCATACATTTTTAGTTGTAGTGCTCACCAAGGTTTATACTCCTTTTAGTTGTAACATGGGCATTCTAAGTTACTGCATTCTTTACAGGTCAGTACTTACCATTTCTACTGTTGTTAGTTTTGCTAACTTTCTCAAGTTTTATTATCTCTTTCTTATTCAGAACTGCTTACACAGTGTATACCAAAGATGATTTATCATATATTTACATCTAAACACTAAGATACTAAAACAATAGTTTTGTGATCATTTAACTCTAGGTTAATCAATCACCCACAAGATACAGACTGGATGGATGACACTCATCATGACCAGGTACTCAGACAGCATTCAGAGGATTCAGAGATAATCAATTATCCTAAAGTGACATCTTCATATCCTCACAGCAATTGTTACACAAAGAAACAAAATCATCACAACTGGACATACAGATCATCTAAAATACTTCAAAATAAAGGTAAATGGTAAGTATTCAAATAAAGAGACAAATGAAAGGAAATTTTAGTATGTGTATGTCAGGGATAGAACTAATGTCTTTATATGCAAGAAGCAAGCACTTTATCCCTGAGCAAAAGGAAATCTTCACAGATATACAAAGTAATAAAAAGCTGTCACAAAACACCCATTCTTTTTTTTGAGAAAAATATTTATTTAAATTTCCTTCATAGTATAATTACCATAACAACATGTTTGAAGGATTTCTGGCAATGGGGTTAATTGTAAAAGTGTCAGAATTAGTTCAATGTGGGGTCTGAGAGATAGTATGTGTCTGACCCTAGTTTTATCTGTAGCACCTTATATGATCCTAAATGGCTGCCTGAGCACTACCACCTGGATTCCTGAACAGAGCTAGGAGTTGAGATAACGAATTCAATATCCAACACTGAATTTGAAGATGTTATATATCTAATATCGAGTATTCTGTGAGTTACGGTACTTGAAAGATCTGGGAAAATATATAGTCTAGTAAGTTAATAATTTAACATTAGTTTATAATTGCTTTTGTTTCTTTTGTTATTGGTATCAGGTCCCCAAATAAATCTCTATTGCTGATGCTAAAGAGCATAACACCTGTGATTTATTCTATTTATTTTATGGTTTCAGGTCTTACATCCAAATTTTTATCCCATTTTGAATTACTTTTTGTGTATATGGTATCAGATTATGGACTATTCTACTATTTTGCAGGTGATTGTCAGATTTTCCATATATCATTTACTTCTGGCTTCTGTATTTTAAATTATTTATATATGTGTGTTTTTATATCTAGAATTCCTTTCTTCTTTTTTTGGAGGGGAGCCAGAGGGGAAGTGTTCCACACCCAATGATGCTCAGAGGTTACTGCTGGCTCTGCATTCGTAAGTTACTCCTGGTGGTGCTCCCGGGACCATATGGGATCCTGACTCTCACTGGTTCTGCCATGAAAGCATCCATTCTTACCTGGTCAATGCTAGCCAGTGGCTCCTCATTCCGTACTAGAATCTGAGAAAACTGCAGGCCCTGATCTGGACTAATCCTCATCACACTCCTCAGCAAAAAGATCCAGTCTGGGGCATAGCCAACCTAAAAGCAAAGGAACCCCAATGTAAAAATAAATAAAACAACTTAATTATTATTATTATTATTTTGGGGGGGGGGCTGGAGCAATAGCACAGCGGTAGGGCATTTGCCTTACAAGCAGCCAACATGGCCGACCCGAGTTTGATTCCTCCGCCCCTCTCGGAGAACCCGACAAGCTACCGAGAGTATCACGCCTGCACGGCAGAGCCTGGCAAGCTACCCGTGACGTATTCAATATGCCAAACACAGTAACAACAAGTCTCATGATGGAGACGTTACTGGGCCCGCTCGAGCAAATCGATGAACAACGGGAGGACCGTGACCGTGACCATGAATATTATTTTTAAAGGGGCTATTTTCTGGAGGATAGTATAGGGGTCAAGATGCAAATTTTATTTTTAATTTTTGGGTCACACCTGGCGATGCACAGGGTTTACTCCTGGCTCATGCACTCAGGAATTACTCCTGGTGGTGCTCGGGGGACCCTATGGGATGCTGGGAATCGAACCCGGGTTGGCTGCATGCAAGGCAAATGCCCTACCCACTGTGCTATTGCTCCCGCCATCTTTTTTTTGTTTGTTTTTCGGGTCACACCCAGCAATGCTCAGGAATTTCTCCTGGTTCTCCACTCAGGATTCACTCTTGGTAGTACTCAGGGTATCATATGGGATGCCAGGGATTGAACCCAGGTCTGCCACATGTAAGGGAGGAGCTTTGCCCACTGTACTATTTCTCTGGCCCCTAAGGCGCATGGTCTTATGTGTAGCTAACCCCAGTTCGATTCCTGTAATCACATAGTCTCCCAAGTACCATTGGAGATCTCTCAGCACTGTTAGGATAATCCTTAGTTCTGCATGGCTCTTGCAGCACTAAGAATTACCAGCAAGGGCCCCCAAGTTTTCTCATACAACTTGGGGAACCAAAAAAAACTTTAAAAATTACAGTATTTGGGGCTGGAGCAATAGCACAGCGGGTAGGGCATTTGCCTTGCACATGGCCGACCCAAGTTCAATTCCCAGCATCCCATATGGTCCCCCGAGCACCACCAGGAGTAATTTCTGAGTGCATGAACCAGGAGTAACCCCTGTGCATCGCCGGGTGTGACCCAAAAAGCAAAAAAAAAAATTACAGTATTTCCCATTGTTTGATTAAAACTTATGCTTATAAAGGAAGGAGGAATAATATCAGCATGTATACATACCAGCAATCTGCTAACACAATATCCAAAAAAAGTGCTCCATGAATATAGAGAGACACAATTACACAAACACCCAGTGCCACAAATAATTCATCTCATCCTGTGTGCAAGCACTGATGAACAACTAAAGATAATGGCTAGTAAGCAGGGAGATAGCAGGAAACCAAAATGTGAAATTATTAGATTGCTGAGGGGAAAGACAAAGAAACGAAGAACAAGGAAAAATTAAAAGAATACTCCCAACTAGAGAAAAGGAGATATAAACCTAAGACAGGAAAATAAAAAGTAGAAGAGAAAAATCATTATCCAAAAAGCTAATTGTGACATTGAACTTTCTCATACCGAAGTACTAAGAAAAAAAAATTCTTTCCAAAGTACTATGAGAAAAGAGGATTTTATAAACTTCAAAATGAGCAATCATCTAATCATGAATTAATCAAGTACACAATACCTCTTTGGCATAGAGCACAATTTTCTGGAATTGGCCTATTTCTGCGAAACACTGTATAACTTTGCTTGGCACATTTGCTCGAAGGTAGACACTCAGAGCCAGTGTAGTATCAGCAGTCTTGACCAAATCTCCAAGTTCTTCTGAACACTCTACCTGTGGCATGCCAAAGGCACAAAGCAAAATTAGAAACTGACAGTGAGCCTATAACCAAAATTTAAAACCGTACAAAGGTTGTGATTCCATGACTGTACCTGGTTTCCTTTCAGCCACTTTTCTATGAGTCTCTTGCGTCCTCGCTGAAGGACTACACGACAAATTTTTAAGGATTCAAGTTTATTAAGCTGACCCTGGTCAAGCAGGATTCCAAAATATTGTATCAATGGAGAAATCTCCCCAGGCTGGGCAGGTATACTCTGTAACTTCTGAATTGTGTCACTGGTACGCAAGATTCCCTAATAACAAATGAAAATGCAGACTGTTGTAATCATAGCTTCACCTAACTAGCTTGTATTAAATTTTTTTAAAAGCTACCAGTAAGAAATCTACATTGAATTTTTTAAAAATTTATTTATTGAATCACTGTGGGAAAAGTTACAAAGCTTTCAGGTTTAAGTCTTGGTCATGCAAATATCAAACACATTTCCCTTTACCAATACTTATTTTTCACCACGAAGAACCCCAATAACCCCCCCCAACCCTCCCAATGCCTGTGAGGCAGATGAATTCTGATTAACACTCTATCTACTTTGACTAGATTCATTGTTTCGACAAAAGATGCACCATTATTATTTAGAGTTTACACCCCCAAATCAGACATGCTGAAAAGGCATTGTGAAATAACTTGTTTTCTACAGCTGGTCACAAGAATCAAACAATTTTGGATTTCTGGTATTTTACTTATTAACCCTGGAAGTATTTCTGCTGAGAGTCAGATAGTTATGAGATTGGTTTCTGTGCTCTGGAGCCATGGCCGTGCCGGAGAGCCGCTTGTGGGGCGCAACTCGTGACCTCGGTAGGGCGTGAAGGATGAGCCGGGAACACCCACTTCCCATGAGGTTTCAGTCGCCCCATCACAACCGGCTCATACCTGGCTTTCCACAAAGCTCCGAAGCAGCTGCCATCTTTCTTTCCAGAGGGTAAAAGCTACATTGAATTTTCAAGGACAAAAAAGTCCAATAACAAGGCAATGAATTTTGTCAGTAATAACCACAAGTACATGGGTCTTGGTCCTATGAGCACTTGAATTAAAATCTTTCTTCTTTCTTATCATGTTGTAATGTGATGAGGCTTCTAAATCTTCAAGTAATAATGAGATTCTACCATCATTTTATTCAAATTCAAAATAGTCAAAGTATCAGATGAAGACAAATCATTTGTTCATAAGTATTACTTGAAAAGAAAAATCATTTCAAGAGGCAACTTGAGTCTTTACTTAGACGCAGATGCAGGCTTAGAACACTTTATTCTATTGAAATAAATATTTTAAAATGCCTTAAATGGTATTATTTATACTGTAGAAATTAGTGAAAGCCCAGAGTAGAAACCTGACTGCATAAAACAGAATACATATGATATAGCATAAAGTTAAATTATCTGTTAAATTAAGAAGTTGGGTAAGAAGTATGTTAATATGAGACTAACACCCAAGGAGAGTAGAGACAAGGGCTAGAAAGATTGCTCCATGGTTGAAAGCCTGCCTTATGAGCTGGGGAAAAAGCAGCTGGGATAGAAAAGGGATCACTAAGTCAATGATGGTTGGAGGGATCGCTCAGGATGGGAAATGTGTGCTGAAAGTAGATAAAGGACCAAACATTATGGCCTCTCACTATCTGTATTGCAAACCATAATATCCATAAGTAGAGAGAGAGTATGAGGGAAATTGTCTGCCGCAGAGCAGGGGGAGGGACAGGGTGGGATACTGGAGACATTGGTCATGGAAAATGTACACTGGTGGAGGGACAGGTGTTCTATCATTGTATGACTGAAACTCAAACATGAAAGTTATATGACTGTAGCTCACAGTGATTAAATAAAAAAAAAAGAAGTATGTATGTACATAGACAAAAACTGGTAAAAAATTGGGATTTTTATCTTTTTCTCCTTCCAAAACAAATTATCACCCCACCAATAAGTGTTTATGGAGCCTAGCACCGTACTATATATACCATACAAAGCACAACTATAAAGACATACATAATATACATGACAGTCCCTGCCAATTACAGAGGCTAAGATTGTATTGTCAACGGTACAAATTTTAAAGCTAAAACTACAGAATACTATGATACTCCACATTAATAGTGAAATGTTTTTATGATTTATTTCACTGAGAATGGTGCACAGTATTTAAGTGCCATTACCTTTGGTGCAGATGCTGCTACTTTGGCTGCTTCAGCATAGCTCCCCTGTGCAAACAGGGTATCAAATTTTTTCACAAATAACTCCTCTGCCCCTGCTAGATTACTACGAATGGCCAAACGGAGACCGAGGTCTGGATTCTGAAGTATGTTGGTTGCATAATTCACAATATTGTCTTCCTCAACACAAACTGAAAGCACCTATGAGAACCAACAAGTCAGACTGATTCAGACTAGTAAAGACTTCATACATGCACATTGTTAAATGCCGCTTACAGAAATTAGAATATTAGCAAAATTCTAAGGTTCATGCTAAGTATGCCTAAATGGTGACCCTAACAATGACAGGATGTAAGGGGACTAAATGTCTAAAGGTTACACTATGGAACACTATGTTACAGCTCTAGCAGGGCTTCTACGTAATTGTTTAAAAAAAACCCATAAAAATATCAAGTAATAGCACTGTAGTACTGTCCTCCCGCTGTTCATCGATTTGCTTGAGCGGGCCCAGTAACGTCTCCATTGTGAGACTTGTTGTTATTGTGTTTGGCATATTGAATATGTCACGGGTAGCTTGCCAGACTTTGCCGTGCGGCCAAGATACTTTTGGTAGCTTGCTGGCTCTCTGAGAGGGGTAGAGGAATTGAACCCAGCTCAGCCGGGCTGGCCACTTGCAAGGCAAACACCTTACCACTGTGCTATCGCTCCAGCTCAACAAGTGATACAAATATTAAATTTATGAATACTGATTAGTGATTCATGAGTTCAGGATGACAGCTATGTAAAAGTGATACGTTTGGGGCCAGAGTAGTAATACAATAAGTAGGGAACTTGTCTTGTATACAGCCAACCCAGGTTCAATTCCTAGCATCCCACATGGTCCTCTCAGCCCCACCAGAAGTGATCCCTGGACACAGAGCCAGAAGGAAGCCCTGACCACTACCAGGTGTCGCTCCACGAAACAAATTTTAAAAGTTATGTTTGTACAAAATTGACAATTTTTTAAAAACTTCTTTTTGAAAGCACAATTTTAATTATTAATTATAGAAGTAACACCACTGCCAATAATTGTGGGGGTCACCAGCTGATACTTGGTGGCTATGATATGCTGGGATTCAAACCCAGGGCTTCACAACATGTGGCTTTACTAGCTGAGCCACATTTTGGTCCCAATTTTTCTCTCTCCTTTCCCCCATCTTTCCTTTCTCTCCTTTTCTTTCTCCCTTTCTTTGCTTTCTCTCCTTCTCTTTTTTCTTTCCTCTCTTCTCCCTTCCTCCCTTCCTTTCACTTTTTTGGAAGTCATATCTGTGATGCTTGGGGGGGACCATGTGGTGTAAGGGTCAAAACTAGCAAGACACATATCAATACTTTCAATTTTTTTCTGGCTTTTTGGGTCACACCTGGCGATGCACAGGGGTTACTCCTGGCTCTGCACTCAGGAATACTCCTGGCAGTAGTTCAGGGGACCATATGGGAAGCTGAGAATCGAACCCGGGTCAGCCATGTGCAAGGCAAACGCCCTACCCACTGTGCTATCACTCCAGCCCCAACTTTCAAATTTTTTTAGAAATTTATTATTGATTTTTGGGCCACACCTAGTAGTGCTGAGGGGTTACGCCGGGGTTTGAGTTCAGGGATCACTTTAGTGGTGCCCAAGGATCATGTGCAGTGCCAGGGATCAAATCCAGGTTGGCTGCATGCAAGAAAAGAGTCCTACCTATTATACTAACTCTCCGACCAATGCCAGTCCTTTGAGTCATCTTCCTGACCCTCAAACCTTCTTTGTTGTTTTTGGTTTTGGGCCACACCATGTGACGCTCAGGGTTACTCTTGGTCTATGCTTAGGAATTACTCCTCGTGGTGCTCAGGAAACCATATGGAATACTGGGGATTAAACCTTGGATTGGCCATGTGCAAGGCAAGCACCTTACCCACTGTACTCTCTCCAACTTCTAAATTTTCTTTTTTTAACTATCTTTTAGAACTCTGAATGTCAAGATCTTTTAGTAGCACATTATTTTTTAATTCCTCATTAATGAACATGTGCATGTCTAATACTGCTAAGAATGTTTTAGGATCACTAGGAAAAGCTCCATATAGGACAAAAGCTGCTCTCTTCTCAGAATTATCCTGTGTTAATAAAAGTGCTGGCTGGAGAGATAGTACAGGTGACCAGGCGGCTTGCTTGCATGTGGCCATTTTGGTTTCCAGCATTGCATACGACCCCCATCCAAACACACACACACACACACACACACACACACACACACACACACACACACACAGCTAGAGGGCACTTGCAAGCACAGATTCAGGAATAGCCCCTGAGCATTGTCAGATGTAGCTAACACCTCCACCACCATCACCCCCTAGAAAAGAGAAAGTAATAGTGCTAAATGAGAGGAGAGGCAGTACATTATGAAGGAAGGAAAATTAATAATGAGTTCATTTTACTTGATTGCTTAAGAAGGAGGATAAGCTAAGTTCCTAGTTCCCAGTGAATGCAACAAATAAGAGATCTAAGTACATACCTGTCCCTTTTTGTTGACACCAATAATTCCAGAGGTAGGTTCATGTGGAGCAGTAACAAAGATTGTATCAGCACTAATACGGTTCATGTAAATGCATGCACCAGATTCTAGGTCATACATATGAAGATAGCCATACTTTGTGATCAAGAAAATGACACCGTGTTTTGCTCCAATCTATAACAAGAGAAGAACAGATTAAAAAGTTAGGAGACAGGAAGTAGTGAAAAGTAAACTTTAAAGTTATGAAAGAGGATTCCTGCATTTTTAGTGAGTACTTATTATTGGTGGAAGCAGTGCCTACCTGTCACAGATATAAAGCTGACTATAATATTTATATATGGAGAACTTGTTTTAAAGCCAATCATTTGTCATAAAATGATTTAATTTTAAAAAGGCGGAAAAATAAATCCAACAGTTTGCCTATTATTCTAAATAAAGGTCCAAGGAAACCAGGCTAGTCCATCAATTCTTTTAAGTATGACTAAATCTTCTCTAGCTTAACAAATCTTTAAAAGCAGCTGCAAATTCATAAAACAAAGATAAGGTTCTGGATAAATATCTCAAACACTGGAGCTGGAGAGACAGTACAGAGGGTAAGGAGCTTTCCTTGAACATGGCTGACCTGGGTTCAATCTCTAGCATCCCATCCCCAAGCACTGCCAGGAATGATTTCTGAGTGCTGAGCCAGGAGTAAGTGACTCCAACCCCCTCCCCCAAATCTCAAAAATGATGTTCATGTTTTAGTGTCATCAACTCTTACAGAGAAATATTTAACACACAGTAAATCTTGATGAAATAAAGAAAAAGGAATATGACCAATCAGACCATCATAAAATTTATAGGAATTTTATTATCTATTTATCTTTTATTTCTGGGTAACACCCAGTGATACTCAGGGATTACTCCTAGCTCTGTGTTCAATGATCACTCCTGATAGTGCTTGGGGGAATGAACATACACAATGTCAGGGACTGAAGCTGGGTCAGTTGCATGCAAGGCAAGTGCCCTATCCCCTACACCATCTCTCCAAAGAAATTACAGTATTTTAACTTACTTTAATGTATTTTTTGGTTCAGGGCTATACCTAGCAGTGCCTAGGGCTTACCCCTTGCTCTGTACTCAGGGATCACTCCTAGTGGGCCTTGGGGGAACCATATGGGTTACCAGGGATTGAACCCAGCCACATGCAAGGTCATCTGCTGTACTATTCTCCAGAACCTCCCTGCTTTTTTTTTTAGTCTTTGGGTCACATCCAGCGAAGCTCAGGGGTTCCTCCTGGCTCTGTACTTAGTGATCACTCCTGGCTGTGCTTGGGGGACTATATGGAATGCAGGGGATCAAACCCAGGTCGGCCATGTGCAAGGCAAACGCCCTAACCACTGTCTTATCGCTCCAGCCCACCCCCCACTTTCTTCTTCGTCTTTTTTTTAATGGAATCACCGTGAGATACAGAGTTATAAAGCTGATCATGGTCAGTTTCAGTCATATAGTATTCCAACACCCATCCCTCCATCAGTGTACTTTTCACACCATCAATGTCCCCTGTTTCCCTCCAGATACCCTCCCCACAGCCTGTCTCTATGGCAGGCACTTTACTTCTCTCTCTCTCTCTCTCTCTCTCTCTCTCTGTTCCTCTCTCCCCATTGGTGCATTATGGTTTGCAATACCATAGAGGGTATCATGTTTGTTCCTTTACCTGTTCAACACACAGTTCTTATCCAGAGTGATCATTTCCAACTATCTTTGTCATGGTGGTCCCTTCTCTATCCCAACTGCCTTCTCCCCCAGCACTGAAAGCAGGGACTAATTATGAGGGAGATGCAAATCAAAACAACAATAAGATATCATCTCACACCACAGAGACTGGCACACACCAAAAAGAACAAAAGCAACCAATACTTGCGTGGATATAGGCAGAAAGAAACTCTTCTTCATTGTTGGTGGGAATGCCAACTAGTACAGCCTTTTTGGAAAACAATATGGGTATTCCTCAAAAAGCTAGAAATTGAGCTTCCATATGACCCAGCAATACTGCTTCTGGGAATATACCTCCCTACTTTTTCAATCCTCCCATTTGCCTGCCTGACTGTTTTCCAACCTTAGACTCCCAGACTATTTATCATTAGAGTTCAACTGAAAGGAGAAAAAGGTTGAATTTTGCTTCATGATCCATCCAGCCACTCTGTATCTTTTGACATGGAAATTTATTGCAATTTTTCTGTTTTGGGTGTTTCTGCCACTTGATATTGCTTTTTTGGCTTTTCTGTTACTGGGGAGGGGGAATTATTTGGGCCACATTCAGCTGGTTCTGAACTCAAGGATCATTTCGGGTTGTTCAGTGGACCAAACAAAGGAAGAGCCAGGGATGAAACTGGCTTTTCCTTATTTTTTCTACTTGCATTTTGATCTTTGCCTTTATGTATTTATCTGCTTCAATTTGCCTCTTCTTGTACTATCTTCTAAGTTTCTTTGCTTTGGGGTGAATGTAGTTTACACCTGAAGTTCTAAACTTACTTCCTCCCTTTCAATTTTTTTTTCTAATTTGAGACTAATCCACTGTACTGTCTCTCCAGCACCAAATTTAAAACACATATATCAAGAGTTCAGTCTGTCCTGACTCCATAAGGTATATGGAGAGAAATGCAGGCAGAACCCTCCATCATATTGAAGCTAACGGCATCTTCAAGGATGAAGAACCACTGACCAAGCAAGTGGAAACAAATATAAACAAATGGAATTACATTAAACTAAGAAACTTTTGCACCCCAAAAGAAACAGTGACCAAAATACAGAAAGAGTCTACAGAACGGGAAAAATTATTCACCCAGGGGCTGGAGTGATAGTACAGTGAGTGGGGCGTTTGATTTGCACGTGGCTTACCCAGATTCGATTCTCAGCATCCCATATGGTCCCCTGAGCACTGCCAGGAGTAATTACTGAGTGAAAATCCAGGAGTAACCCCTATGCGTCACCAGGTATGACCCAAAAAGCAAAAATAAACTACCGAGAGGATCTCGCCCACACGGCAGAGCCTGGCAAGCTACCCGTGACGTACTTGATATGCCAAACACAGTAACAGGTCTCATGATGGAGACCTTACTGAGCCCGCTCAAGCAAATTGATGAACAACGGGAGGACCGTGATGTGATGTGATCCATCAGATAGAGGCTTAATATCCAGGATACAAAAGGGAAAAAACCTTCAACCCCATCAAAAAAATGGGGAGAAGAAACAAACTTCCTCAAAAAAAGAAATTCAAATGGCCAAAAGGCATATGAAGAAAATGCTCTACATTGCTAATCATCAGGGAGATGCAAATCAGAACAACAATGAGATATCATCTCATACCACAGAAACTGGCACATATAAAAAAGAATAAGAACAACCAGTGCTGGTGTGAATTTGGGGAAAAAGGGACTCATTCATTGTTCGTGGGAATGCCAACTGGTCCAGCCTTTTTTGGAAAACAACATGGACATTCCTCCCAAAACTAGAAATTGAGCTCCCATATTACCTAGCAATACCACTTCTGGGAATATATCCCAGAGATGCAAAAAAAAAAATACAGTAGAAATGACATCTTCACTTGCATGTTTACTGCAGCACTGTCCAATAGGCAGAATCTGAAAAAAACCGAAGTGCCCAAGGAATAGACAACTGGTTAAAGAAACTTTTCTACATAATGGAATACTATGTAGCTGTTAGATAAGATGAAATCATGAAATTTGCATATAAGTGGATGGACATGGAGAGTACCAGCCTAAGTGAAATTAGTCAGAAAGAGAGGGACAGAGGTAGAATGACTGCACTCATTTGTGGAATATAAAGTAACATAATGAGAGACTGACACCTAAGGACAGTAGAGGTAAGAGCCAGGAGGATCATGACTTGGAAGCTGGCCTCACATGCTGGGGGAAAAGACAGCTGGGATAGAAAAGGAACCACTATGTAAATGATGGTCGGAGGGATCGCTTGGGATGAGAGATGTGTGCTGAAAGTAGACTATGGACCAAACATGATGGTCTCTTAGTACCTGTATTGCAAACCATAACATCCAAAAGGAGAGAGAGTATAAGAGGGAATGTGCCTGCCAAGAGGCAGGAGGTGGGAAGGGGTGGGGGTGGCGAGAGGGATGCTGGGAACACTGGTGGTGGAGAATGGGCACTGGTGAAGGGATGGGTGCTTGATCATTGTATGACTGAAATGTAATCATGTAAAGTTTTTAAGTCTGCAACTGTATTTCAGCATGATTCAATAAAAACAAACAAATAAATAAAAAAGAGCTCAGTCTGTGAATATTTCAATAAACTTTCCATGTTTTCCCCATTTTAAGAATTTCACGAATGTCTGTCTGTGAATGGGGTTTCCTGATTTTTATAGGAGACATCAGCACTGCCAAGACTGAGTGGTTGGGATGACATGTGATATTTGACAAGGTGAAAGAGGGCATGAACATCATAGAAACCAAAGTGCTTTAGGTTTAGGAATAGCAAGACCAGCAATAAGATAATGATTTCCAACAGTGGATAAGTCTGCTAGATATGACTTTAATTTTACAATTTTTAAAAATTAAATCATAGTGAGATACAGTTACAAGGTTGTTCCTGATTGGTTTCAGTTATATAATGTTCCAACATCCATCCCTTCATCAGTGTACATTTCCTATCACCAGTGTCCCCAATTTCCCTCCCGCCCTTCCCCACTCCCTCACTTGCTTCTGTCCCTGTCCCTCTCTTTCTTTTTAAGCATTGTGGTTTACAATACAGATACGTGAAAGGTTATCATGTATATTCCTTTAGCTACTTTCAGCACTCAGTACTTGGGCAGAGTGTTTAACCACCAGACCATTCCTTCTGTAGTGCAGGAGAGTGACCTTTACCCCCACATACTTGAAATGTCCTATTCTCCTTGTGTTTTCCTTGCAGTTCTCTTGGTTCCCTATTTTCCTATCCCTCCTTAAAGTCTAGCTGGTTTTCAGAGTTTTTATGGTTACAAAATATAAAATAATAACTTTTATCAAAAGACTATTTTTTGTTTGTGGCTATAGGGAGTACTTTCTTTTCCATTCCTCCTGACAACAAGTATTTTTACAAGACAGAAGTAAACGGCAATTTCACTTTGGAGGAAAAAAACTGCATTCTTTGATGACGTGATGAAATTTAGCTTAAAGAAATGATCATAAGCACAGAATAAATAGTAAAGTCAACATACATCTGTAGTACATCTTTAAAAACAATTGGTTATGGGCAAGAGAGGTTATACAGAGAGTAAGACACTTGCCTTGCATGAAAGTGACCTAGATTTGATCCCCAGTATTATATATGGTCTCCAAAGCATCACAGGATTGATCCCTGAGTGCAGAGCCAAGAGTATGCCCTGAGCCCAACTGGGTGTAGCCCCAAAATAAAAAACAAAAAATTGGGGCTGAAGAGATAGTACAGAGGTTAGGGCATTTGCCTTGCACATGGCCAACCTGGGTTCCATCCTCTGCATCTCATAGGGTTCTCCAAGCACTGCCAGGTGTAATTCCTGAGTGCAAAGCTAGGAGTAATCAATCAGCATTGCTATCTGTTACCCGCCCCCCCAAGTTTATTCCATATAATATTCACAAAGACTATATAAAGACTTACAGAAAGACCTATAAGGTATTTTTAAAAAAGTGAAAAGGAGAATAGAGTAGGGACTGAAAAGAGAGCTCTCTTGGAAAACATTCTGTTCATAGAAAAGAGAAGCTCCCTATTACAAGTGAAAAAAATATGACCTAGAAGAAAAATCTCTGTATCAACTTCTTTGTGTTCTAATATATCTGTCCTGGCAACTTCTGAAGCACAGGAGATCTACTTTTCTACTTCATCTGACTTTCCTGAATCATTTAAACCAGTCAGTGAGCTGCACATTCATACCTGCATAGCTACTGGGAAATCAGTCTGAGCGTCAGGAGGGAAAAACACATCCACAGCTTTCTTTACAAAAGGCTGGTTTCCTGCTGCAGGCTGTCCAACTTCGATTATGTGTAACTAGAAAACAAAATCTAGGTCAATCCAAGTAAATATATTTCATAGTAGACTAATGCTGAGCAATGCACCATAGTAGAATCTTTAAGGGTAATAAAACTTACTTTGTAATAAAAGTTGTATTCAAACTAAACCAGATAAAACTCTATTGGGGTGCTCATATTATTATTATTTTGCTTGTTTTCTGGGAAACATCTTGCAGTGCTTACACCTTACTCCTGGCTCTGGACTCAGGGATCATTCCTAATGGGGCTCAGGGAACCATATGGGGTACTAGGGATCAAACCCATGATGGCTGCATGTAAGACAAGTGCCCTACCCACTGTATCTCTCTGGCCCCCATATTAGTATGGCAGAAAGAATCAATGCTAGGAGAGTTGAGACATTTAGTTATATCAGGTAGGGAAGTCACTTTCCTCACTGGGCTTCAGTGCCCATGAAATAAGTAGTTCAAACTAGGATCTGCTGTCTTTTCCAGTTCCATTTTTCTATTCTACTAGACAAGGATCAGGCAAACACTAGTCAAACAAATGACAAGATCTGATCATTAATGTCAAACTGACAAGAGAGATAAGCATGGCAAAGGCCTGAATATTTACAATATTATATTGTGGGGAATGGAGAGTGTAAGAACATTTTTGGGGGGTCACACCTAGCAGTACTCAAGAGCAACTACTAGCTTAGTGCTTGAGGGATCATGCAGTGCTGGGGATAGAATGTGAGGTTCCTCCATGTAAAACGTATGCTAAAATTCATTAATTTGATGGGGAAATGGGGTATAGGGAAAATATGCAAGAATCTCTGGAGAACTGGGAGGAATGAGTGTGGACAAAGGACATTCTTATGAATATGGACAAAAGTATGGACATTCTTAGCTTTAACAGAAAAATATCAAGTTTCTTTCAATTACTAAAAAAGGTAGAACATCTGAAATAAGGTTAGAAAAATTATGGGAAGTTGATCAAAGATATGAAACAGTTGGAGGGATAATTTAGTATAGGAGATGAATGAGTGTACACTTAATAGGACAATCTGGGTTTGACCTGGCAATGAGAAGGGTGAGGCAAGCAGAGGACAAACACTGAAAGATTGGCTAGAAGTGGGTAAGGCTAATGCAGTCAGAAAGAAAGGTTACATTATAGATTAATAAGGGAGATTTAAAGCCCTAGAACATAGATAGTAAAGTAAGTAAGTAAAGGCCCTCCCGTTGATCGTCGATTTGCTCGAGCGGGCCCAGTAACGTCTCCATTGGAGACTTTGTTGTTACTGTGTCTGGCATATCGAATACTCTCGGTAGCTTGCCGGGCTCTCCGAGAGGGGCAGAGGAATCGAACTCGGGTCGGCCATGTTGGCCGCGTGTAAGGCGAACGCCCTACCCGCTGTGCTATCGCTCCAGCCCTAGAACATAGACATTCTAGATAAATCGTAGTTTAGTAAAAGTCTATTTGACAGGTAAGGTGGGTCTGAAGACTTATAAATGGCTATTTCCTAATGGTTATTCCTAGATGGCAAGTTGTAATCAACTACAGATGTGAAACCCGGGGAACAGTTACAAGAATAAAACTGAGGCTTGCTCTTCAAACCTTTGTTATCCCTTGAACATGTATCTTGCTGGCTCGTCCTTATTTCTCTTTGCTAGCTTTTTCCACTCTGGAAAGCCCATTTTCTTTCCCTTTGCATCTAAGTTTTGCCTAATAGAAACTATTTTGTTTCACTGTCACTGTCCTCCCATTGTTCACTGATTTTGCTCGAGCAGGCCCAGGAACACTGTGAGACTTGTTACTGTGTTTGGCATATCAATTACGTCACTAAAGAATAAAAATGAAAAAAAATAAGGGCTGGAGAGATAATAGAACTGATAGGGCACTTATCTTACATGCAGCTGACCTAGGTTCAATCCCTGTGCACCAGGAGCAATTCCTAAGGGCAGAGCCAGAAGTAACCCCAGCGTATTCCCGGGTGTGGCCCCAAAATGAGTAATAATAATTATAATAATTAGTGGAATTCAAAAGATCAAAGTGTTTGAGTCAAAGCATCCAGTAAGACTAGAGTGAGGAAGTTTGGAAATTCTCAACTTATTAAGAACTACTCTTCTTTGAAAAACAGTTTGGAACTAATGACTAAGAGAAAATCATAATTTCAAGAAAATATTTGGAATTTTCAAGGAAATATATGGAAAGTATACTGGCATAAGGTTTTGTAGAAGCTCCAAGAAAGCAACACAACCCTGGTGGAACCCAGTTCTCCCCAACATCCCAACATCATGAGCTCTTAAGCCTCTATCCATACTTATCCAAGACAGCGCTGCAGCCCTTCTAAACAAATGCTGTTAATGCCCCCAAGTCTAATGAAACTCAACTTGCACCCAGGATACAACTTCTTCTTTCTGTAACTTTTCCTGGAACTCTGGCAGTCCTTGATATAAGAGCTATCCCACCTTGGATAAGAATGAGATGCAGTGGTTTTTATAGCATTCCAAATGGTGTCTGAGGGGTCAGTACAGTGAGGAGGGGGGTGGCCTTGTACACAGCTGGCCTGAGTTCGATTCCTGGCATCACATATGGTTCCCTGAGGATCACAAGGAGTGATTCCTGAGTGCATGGCCAGGAGTAACCCTTGAGCACCACCAGGCATGGCCCCCAAACAAATACAAAATCCCTGCCCCCACACACAAACTGGTTTCTGAGAGCAAAAACCATGCCTTGATTATTTCACAGTTTTAGTATCTATGCCAGACTGTCAAAGCAAATTTTAAGGAATAAGGAATCAGTTAATTATCAGCTGAATTCAGTTAAGTTTATATAACAGTTGGTTATAGCCCCAATATGTATATCAGGTGAGTTGTTCTGAAATTTCAAGGGCCATCATTTTCACAAGAAGTAACTACAGGCTATTCCCCATTCCAATTACAGGTTGGCTACAAAACATCAGTTAAGCAGCTACCAATTACACTTTCACAGTCTCCTATAAACTTGTATAGTTTGGTTTTCTGGGAGACTAAATAAGGTGGAGTAGATCTTACCTTGCCTCCTGTGGGATTTCGTACAGCAAAGCAGAAAAGGGTGGCAGGCTTCGCATTCCCCTCAGCCTTGAATTCTGCAAAAGCAGCAGCATGGCCTTCAATGGGTTGTGAAACCTTCCTATCCACAGAATAGAGCTGCATTGCCCCAACCACACGGTTTTGCTAAGAAAGGAGATTTTTCAGTAAAAGGAAAAGAGATCAAACAATTGTTAAGACAAACATGTCTAAAAGGAAAGTCTCATATAAAGATTTAAGTTCTATAATAAAGTATTTTTGCTATTAGAAGGTATGACATAAATGAATTTGATATGGAATAGGCTATCAACACTAGCCTCTAAAGTAGTAAAACAGATAAATGGTTTTCAACCATTTTGCAATCATGGACCAGCACCAATTAGTTGGCTAAGAATCACCAGTGGGGTTCTTCTGAGACCTCCTGAGCACAACTTGGGAGGTCCCTGTCTCCCCTTAAAAAGGAAGAGAATATAATTCAGCAATAAAGTCCAGGACTTTCATGTGTGAAGCCATGGGTTTAATCTCAGCAGAGCAAAAACAAAGGGAGATAGCGCAAAGGTTTATAGTGCATGCTTTGTATTTTGAAGTCCTGGGTCATGTTAGCGGCTATGCCTCACTTTGTGAGCCCTGGGTTCAACCCCCAAAACCATACACAAAAGAAAAGATAGGTAAAAGAATAGACTTTTAACCAAAAAAAGATAGACACACAAGCACATGACAAGAATCTCAGAATCATTAATCAACTAGAAAATTGCAAGTCACATTAGCAGTGAGGAATTACCCACTAAAATGTTGAAATAATCTTTTGTGTATGTGCCATGGGTTTGAACCCAAGATCTTACAAGCACAAGACATGTACTTCAGAACAACATCCCCTTTCATTGTTTATACTTTTGTTAAAAATTGTTAAAATTAGAGTATCTAATCTATGTAATGGAAATACTAAGACAAAATGAACTCTGGAAGAGCCGGAGAGATAGTAAAACTAGTAGCAGTGCTTGCCTTGCACACAGACCTGGGCTCAATCCCAAGCACCCCAATATAGTCCCCAAGTCTTCCAGGAGTGATCCCAGAGGGCGGAGCAGGGAGGGTGGGAGAGGAGACAGAGAGAGAGAGAGAGAAAGAGAGAGGGAGAGAAAGACAGACAGAGAAGGGAGGAGAGCAGGGAAGAGAGAGACGAAGAGGGAGAGACAAATTTATTCCGGGCCAGAAAACTATATGGTCTCCTGAGCATCACATGGAATAGCACCCGTGCTTGGGGCTAGAAATAGATCCCAAGCACCACTGGGTTTGGTCTAAAAAACGAAGAATAAAAAGGAGGGGCACTGGAAAGAAAGTATAGCAGGCTGGGCACTTGCACTGCATGTGCCAGACCTGATTCAATTCCTGGCACCCCACATGGTTCCCTGAGTTCTGCCAGGAGTGATGCCTGAGCACGGCCGGCTGTACCTCCTAACCGCCTCCTAAAAAAGATTAATGTGCTTCTTTTGTCGACTGGTTGTTTTTATTTTCTTTTCTTTTTAAATACTGTTTTTATTTTATTTTTTTGCTTTTTGGGTCACACCAGCGACGCACAGGGGTTACTCCTGGCTCTGCACTCTGGAATTACTCCTGGTGGTACTCGGGGACAATATGCGATGCTGGGAATTGAACCTGGGTTGGCCGTGTGCAAAGCAAATGCCCTACCCGCTGCGCTATCGCTTCAGCCCCTGACTAATTATTTTTAAATAATTATGTACTGTCAAGTATTACTTCATTTAGCTTCCTGATTATGAACAGATTAAGAACTGATGGTTCTTAATCAAATTTGGGAAGGTTGGTGCTACTAGTTCTTCACAGATTCTTTCTTCCCTTTTACACCTCTGGGACACCAATTATGGATATTTTGGTCCATCTGATTGCATTCCATAGATCTATGAAGTGATTTGGGGGCAGAAGGATAGAGGTCTTCCAAATGGTGCTCAGGAGGCCTAGAAACCCCACCAGTAATTCTTATTTAATTCTTACATAACAACTCTGAAAAAGACACTTCCTTTCCCTAGGTTTATTGTGCTACTTACCTTAGGCTTCTGAGATTACAACAAAGTCTCCAATGGAGATGTTACTGGGCCCGCTCGAGCAAATCGACACAACGTGAGGGCCTTTACCTTTACCTGAGATTATTCTATAAACCAACTAAGCAGGTGATTCAATGAAAGAACCCAAGAATGTTGGTGGAGGGATGGATGTTTGATCACTGTATGACTGAAACTTAATCATGAAAAGTTTGCAACTGTATTTCATGGTGATTCAATAATAAAAAATTTTAAAAAAAAGAGCCCAAGAATGTGATACTACTTGGGCCCTACATGGTGCTTTACCCACTGTACTAACACTCTGGCCCCCTAATATCTTTTTATTGAGTACAAACTGTTTCTTTGCATATCATAAATTTTTGTTGAAAACTATACATTTCTGGGCCTGAGAGATAGTTCAGGGGTTAAAGTACTTGCATGCAGAGGATCCTAGTTCAACCTCTAGCAACATTGCTGGATACAGCCCTGGAGTCTCCTGTGCACCACTGCAGTAGTCCAGGTGACCCGAGTACAAAGGGCCCTCACAGTGAATTGCTGGCCAATAACCACTGGGACAATCCTTGGGTCCCCCAAGCATGATTCAGAGGCTGCTCTCTAAAAAGAATTTTAAACTGTATACCTTAAAGGATACAACATAACAACTCTGAAAAAGACACTTCCTTTCCCTAGGTTTATTGTGCTACTTACCTTAGGCTTCTGAGATTACAGCAAAGTCTCCAATGGAGATGTTACTGGGCCCGCTGGAGCAAATCGACACAACGGGAGGGCCTTTACCTTTACCTGAGATTATTCTATAAAAATTATATTCTTTGTTAGATGAGATGATGAGCTTTACTAAACTTGGTGATCAGTTAATGATTTGAAAGAAACTCCTCGGGGCTGGAGTGATAGTACAGCGGGTAGGGTGTTTTCCTTGCACACAGCTGATCTGGGTTTGATCCCCAGAATCCCATACAGTCGCCAGAGCTTTGCCAGGTATAATTCCTGTGTGCAGACCCAGGGGTAACCCCTGTACATCACCAGGTGTGAACCAAAAAAAAACGAGGGGGAAAAAAAAGAAATTCCTTAAATAACTGAATTTCAGCCTTTACTTTGAGGTGTGTGTGTATATGTGTGTGCAGACATACATTCAGTGTTCCAGCTGTCTTAGTCTTTTGAAACTTCACATGCCTCTTGCAGAAAGCTTCAACGTTAGTCAGAGAAGAGCTGTCAAAACTTTTTTTTCTTTTTTTGGGGGGTCACACCGGCGATGCATAGGGGTTACTACTGGCTCTTCACTCAGGACTTATTCCTGGAGGTGCTCCGTGGACCATACGGGATGCTAGGAATCGAACCCGGGTTGGCCCCGTGTGCAAGGAAAAAGTCCTACCTGCTGTGCTATCGCTCCAGCCCAGATTCCCAAGAATATCTTCACATTTTTTTCCTTATAATTTTTAATTAGAATTTTGAAAGTTTTTTTCTTTTTGGGTCACACCTGGCGATGCACAGGGTTTACTCCTGGCTCATGCACTCAGGAATTACTCCTGGCGGTGCTCAGGGGACCATATGGGACGCTGGGAATCGAACCCGGGTCGGCTAAGTGCAAGACAAATGCCCTACCAACTGTACTATCACTCCAGCCCCTAGAATTTTGAAAGTTTTTTAAAAAATGTTTAAGCTTCTTTAAAGATTGATATCTCAAGCAGCCACAGCAGCTGATAGTTTGTCATGAGTATCCCAGGATATAATCATATACAAATGAACAAGATGGAGTAGATGTGGCGGGTACCAACCATAGTGATGGTCTTAGACTCTCCAAAAGATCACTGTCTTCCATTCCTGTGTCTTTCAGAGTTTCCTCCCCAAGTGTACATTGATAGCTGGCAAATTCAGCTTACAGGTCTCCTCTGTAAAGGCTTTCCTTGATATTTTGGGTTGTTTTGGGCAACAGAGAGCAGGGCTTGTGGGCTGTTTCTGGCACTGCTCAGGGAACCATGCAAAGCATGTACTCCAGCCCACTGAGCTATCCTCTTTATTTGGTCTTTCCTTGACTTATGATACTCTCTCCATGGCTCCCATTATACTCTTCAAATATTTGACATTCATTAAGTGAATGTTTTGTTTTGTTTTGGGGCCACAACTGACAATGCTCAGAGTAACTCCTGCCGCTGCACTCAAGAATTATTCCTGGCAGTGGTTGGGGACCATATGGGATGCTGGGGATCAAACCCAAGAGGTTTGCATGCAAGGCAAGTGCCCTATCTTCTGTACTATCTTTCCAATAGTCAGGTTTGATTAATAAATTTCTATAATGCTAGTGCCAAATATCCTGTAATATTCAATTATCTAGTGACTGAATCAGCCAGGATAAATAAAAAGGGGAAGAAGTCAAAAAGTATTGCTTTCATTATAAAGAGACATGGGTTAGTAATACCCCACTAAGCCCTTAAAATCTAGCCTCCAAACTTCTTTTTTATAAAACTAAAAATTCCAAGCTGCTCTACAAAATTTCTCAAAAAAATAACACTGTACTAGAAATGATTTAAGTATAAACACAACAATCTGATGCAATACAGTAGTTAATAGTCCAGATCAAAATTAGAATTTTTTTTTTTGCTTCGCTTTTTTGGGCTACACTCAGCATGTTCAGGGGTTACTCCTGGTGGGCTTGTGGGACCATATGGGATGCTAGAGATCAAACCTGGGTTGGCTAAATGCAAGGCAAATGCCCCTACCCACTATATTATCGCTCTGGCCCCTGAGTTAGAACCCTTATTTGATCCAAAGTTTTCATTTTTTTGTAACAATCTCTTTCAGTTACCAATTTCAGCAACATATTTCTTTCATTCCTGTGCCTATTTTTTCTGCTTCACATCTATACCAACTTTTAATATTAGACTTGTGAATTCTGTCACAGGACCCTGACAGCAGCCAAAAGCTTACCTGTGCTGAGATGCCAACAAGGACCAACCACTTCTGGTACTCATCAGTCCGGTAGTGGATCATCTGGCATCCTGCAAGACTGGCATGTCTATCAAACATCTTGATAGGCTGTGAGTCAGCTTCCATACTCCAGTGGTAGACAGCGGTCTCAGTAACCAGGGCTACAGTGTTCACAGAGACCCATTTCCAGAAAATCACCTCTTCTGCCAGAGTATGAGCCTTCATTTTATTCTTCATCTCAATACTAAAGATTTGAAGTGTCTTCCCAGCTAGTTATTGATGTAATAAGATTAAAAAAATAAAGAACCTTAAATTCAAATTCTTACACTCTTTATATCTGAATCTTTGAATATTACTTTTTTTTTTTTGCTTTTTGGGTCACACCCAGTGATGCTCAGGGGTTACTCCTGGCTACGTACTCAGGAATTACTCCTGGCAGCGCTCAGGGGACCATATGAGATGCTGAGGATCAATTCCAAGTTGGCTGCAAGGCAAACGCCCTACCTGCTGTACCACTACACCATCACTTTAGCCCTTGATATTACTTTTAAGTTGTAGCACTGCACTGTAGCACTGTCCTCCTGTTGTTCATCGATTTGAGTGGCCCCAGTAACGTCTCCATCACGAGACTTGTTGTTACTGTGTTTGGCATATTGAATACGTCACAGGTAGCTTGCCAGGCTTTGCAGCGTGGGCAAGATAATCTCAGTAGCTTGCTGGGCTCTCCGAGAAGGGTGAAGGAATTGAACCCAGCTCGGCCAGGCCAGCTGCGTGCAAGGCAAATGCCCTACCGCTCTGCTAGTGCTCCATAACATATGAGAATTTCCCCAGGTAAGCAGCTGTGAGCTAAGAGCTAGGTGTAGGGTCTGACCATAGCTCCTTATAACACAGAAAGGCCTGAAGAATGAAGGTTTGGCTAATTTTTGATTGAAGATGATTCTCTGCAGCACTGTGGTTGGTCTCTGCCAAAACCCCCCAGAAAACAGGATTTAAGTTGTAATTCTGGCTAATATGGCTAGTAAGCATATGAAATGTGCTTCAATAAGACATTTCAGTTATTAAATGTTTACATCTATTTAACTTAAATTTAAACAGTAATACATGGCTAGAGTCCAATAAGACAATGCAGTCTTAGACAAAGGGCTCTAGCATCATCTCTGACTAAAGACCTATTTTTGCAGGTCCAATAGTTTAGTGAGTAGGATAATATTGATATCTATGACACTGATATCTAGGATGATTAAGATATTTTAAGATATATTAAGATAAAATACAACTTTCCTCTAAGATCAGAAGCAAGAAGAGTATTTCTCTCACCACTTCTATTTGACATTGCATTAGACTTCCTAACCAGGCCAATATGCAAAAATGAAAAGATATAAAGACCAAAAATATCAGAAATAAACTGTCCCTTGGGGGTATGGTGCCGCCAGCAGGTCAATCTGTACCTGTGAGGTGAGTGCATCAGCAGCCTGAGGGTAATGTCAGATTTTCAGATACCCCAAAATTGCTGCTGTGCCTTTGGCCAGACCCCAAAATCTTGGGGCAAAGTTTACCAAGAAAGTAAACAGCCAAAAGTTAGGTATGTGGGAGACACACCCACAAACCACCTCCGGCTCAGCTATATAATTGGAGGCATGGCCTCTTTGGTTCCTGATCAAACTGCTAAATGGCCATGATTCCAGAGACTCAAACGAATCTCAGAACCCAAAGGCTTTTGGCAGAAATGCATCCTGTTCCTGCAGTAGGTTACTGGCGCTGGGCCACTCCAGGTAGGAATAGGTTTCATTCCTTGGCCTACTCCCCCTGGAGGCTTGGTGACCACCATCCTCCAGAGGCCACTGGACAGCCAGGTTTGGGCCTGCAGTGACGAGACACACGGGGCCTCACAAGATGGGGGTGGAGCCGACCCTTTTATCCCCATCCCAACAAGACCCCAAGTCGCTGCCTACAAACAGCCTCTCTGGCTCCTGATCAAGCTGATTAATGGCCATGATCCCGGAGACTCAGAAACAAATCTCAAAACCCAGCGGCTTTTGGCAGAAATGCATCTGGACCACATACAAGGTGGCCACTGGCTCAGAGCTTATTGGAAAGCCAGGTATGAGCCAGCGGTGTCAGGGCAACTGCAGTCTCATGGGAAGGGCGGCGGTACTGGCTCGTCCTTCACACCCTACCGAGGTCACGAGTTGCCCCCCACGAGCGGCTCTCTGGCACGGCTATGGCTCCAGAGACAAAATGATTTAATCCAGAGCCCGGCAGCTTGCGGCAGAAAAGTGAATGGACCATGCATTAAACTACAGCGCCATGCCTCCCCGGGAGGGAAAGGGTGTTGCTCCCTTCCGCCTTTTTCCCTCCTGGCAGCAAGGTGGCTGCCGTCTCAGAGCTTATAGGAAAGCCAGGTATGAGTAGGCGGTGAGGGGGCAACTGCAGTCTCATGGGAAGAGGGGGGTGGTACCAGCTTGTCCTTCATGCCCTACCGAGGTCACGAGTTGCCCCCCACGAGAGGCTCTCCGGCACAGCCATAAACACCAGACACACAGAAACCAATCTCGTAATTATTTGGCTCTTTGCAGAAATCCAAAATCGTGGCCACATGACATTATATGATTCTCATAACCAGCTATAGAAAACAAAGTATTTCACAATGCCTTTTCCGCAATTCTGATTGTTGGGGGGAAATTCTAAACAATAATGGTGCATCTTTTGTCGAAATAATGAATGTAATAAATGTAGAGAAGAGTTAAGTAGAAATCATCTGCCTCACAGGCATTGGGAGGGGTGGGAGGGGGGTATACTGGGGTTCTTGGTGGTGAAAAATGAGTACTGGTGAAGGGAAAGGTGTTTGATCATTGTATGACCGAGACTTAAACCTGAAAACTTCACATAGTGATTCAATAAATAAATATAAGAAAAATAAATAAAATTATGGAAAAAAAGTAAGGTGGAGTTCATGCCCAATTCAATCAGCTAATCAGTGGTTGAATAAATAGCAGTACTCCTACATAAAAAAAAATAAACTGCCTTTATTCAGAGACAACATAATCTTCTTGAAGGAAATCCTGATACATGTGCTGACCTGAGTTCAACCCCTGGCACTGAATGGCCTCCTGGGCATCTCCAAGTGTAGCACTGGCAGCCCTGGAACACCACAAGGTCTGAAAAGCACCACACCTTAGGACCTCCAACTGAACTGCTAGTTGTGTTGATTGAGTAGCACAGCAATGGCTCCCAGAACCCCTGAATATTGTTTAATAGGTTCCCCCAAACATATGAAAGAATAAAAATAATTCACCTAAATACAAGAGAAAACACAGTAATGAAGACTATGAGACAAAAAGCTCTAAAGTATACAGAAAACAAATCATAAAATTATTCTTATCAGTAAATATATTATTAAATTTAAATGAATTAGTATTAAATGTAAATGAAGAGGTAGTACAGCAGGTAAGGTGTTTGCCTCGCATGTGGCAGACCTGGGTTTGATCCTCAACATCCCATATGGTTTTCCAAGTATGGTCAGGAGTAATTCTTAGTATAGAGCCAGGAGTAACCCCTGGCCATCACCATGTGTGGTCCAAAACCCAGAAAAAAAATTAAAAATGTATTAAACTTCACAATTAAAAGACTGAGACTGGCAGAAAGGCTATAAAAACATGACCTAACTATATGTTGTATACAAGAGTGTGAGCTCAAACTGTGGGCACATGATACATGCGTTCAGTGGCCAAGAGTCACCTCCCCACCCCTGCTGGCCAATGGCAATGGGCAAATGAAGGAACAAGGAAATTAAGGAATGGGGCCACAGGCTTGTTGGTAATCAGTGATCCTTTTTTTCATCCTTAATCTCTCTTACAGTGTAGTTATATAGAAATCAAGAAGGTGGGAGTACACATAGGTGGGCTTGAACATTATCATAAACAGATGTAAAACTCTTCCTTCAGGGGAAGTTTTTCAAGGAGATAAACTCAAGGACAAAATCTCATCACATCCAGGTGTGACCCAAAAAGGAAAAAAAAAAGGTTGGCTCTTCCTGGTGACATCTTGCTATTTATTCCAGACTACAATCCTCAGGCCAGGTTAGTCTTTCCTAATCCCAGCAGGGTCCATCCGTTACTTCTTTTTAGGTCATGACAATTTGTTCCATGACCATGATCTTAACTTATTATACTGCTTATAGTGCTTAGCTTGTCCCTTTTCAATGCAAGGGTAGCTTACAGCTTTTCCTGGGTCCATGCAATCCCTCAATGGGATCCTCCTTTTGGGGGTTTTAGAAAGAAATGGCAACTGAGGCTTAAGTCAAGTAAATATGATGAATGCCCAGGAGAAAATATTATTTGGAGTCAGTTAACTCCCACGTAGCATCAACTGTCTTCCTGTGTCTATACAAAAAGGACATTGATAAGCCATGCAAAGGACAAGGAGGAAAGAGAAAAGTTATATAGGATTATTTGTGCCTGATGGAATTGGTGTGTCTCAGGAGCACTGTGGTGGGAGCAATTCAATAAATCTGAGCTCCCTGCAGGAGGGGCAAGGTCATACCAATGTTACCCAATACAAGAAGCTCACTTTAGATCCAATCACAGAAAATAAAATTGTAAGGATAGAAAAGTATATTTCATGTAAATAGTAAACAAAAGAGACTGGGGGAAGTGCAGGGTCAGAGGTCAGAGAGAAATTAGTGCCTCCTATGAGAGTATATAAAAGACAGGTCTCACTAAAGCTTTTATTTTTATTTATTTTTTTGGGTCACACCCAGCGATTCACAGGGGCTACTCCTGGCTCTGCTCTCAGGAATTATCCATGGCGATACTCAGGGGCCCATATGGGATGCTGGGAATCGAACCTGGGTTGGCCGCATGCAAGGCAAATGCCCTACCTGCTGTGCTATTGCTACAGCCCCTCACTAAAGCTTTTAAATGAATATTATGACGTTACTGATAACTTGTCTAATAACAAAAAAAATAAAATAAAATGAAGTAAATTCCTTTGTTAAATTTTCTTTGTGAAAATTCCATCAGACTTACCTTTCAGAGCTATCACCTTAGAGGCCGGATTCATGATGGCACTTTCTGCAGAGATGGGCCATCTAATTGATGCCATTGGATCACTCACATCAATAATCACTACGTGCGCCTGCTCACCGACTTTCTCTTGAACACATATAAACTTATCTGATTCCATAGTCAGTGTGCTGAATCCAATATTATCTGGATTAATTCCAAGGTCTTGGAGCTAAACAGAAAACAAACATTTAGTTAAAGTATGCTTTGTTTTTATCTCTGAAAGATTAGCTCTAGCCCATTATTTAGCAAAGTCTAAGAGAAGGAAAAGTTTGTATTTGAAAAAAATTAAAATTAAACGAATATTCAAAATTAATGCTGATTTTCTATGTCTTTTTATTTATTTTTTTTGGACCATACTCTACAGTGATCGAAAATTATTCCTGGCTGTATGATCAGGCATCACTTCTGGTACTGTTCAGGGGACCATATGTAGTGCCAGATATTGAACCTGGGTCGGCCATAAGCAAGTCTAATACCCTGCCCCCTGTACTATCTCTCTGACCCCTACCCCTTTCTTTTTGGCCACACCCGGTGATGATAGGAGATCACTCTTGGTTCTGTGCTAAGAGATCATTACTGGAGGTGCTCAGGGGACAATATGGGGTGTCAGAGATCAAATTCAGTTTAACCATATGCAAGATTAAGTACCTTAATCAATATATTATATCCCTGTCTCTCTTGTCTTTTATAGGTAGAGCCAACATAGCAACAAAAGTCTGTGAGTCAACTCTCAAGAAGTCTATAATCTGCAGGCCCGATAAGGTTACCCAAGAATAAGGATAAGGATAATGGCTGGAGTGATAGCTTAAAGGTACAGTGTGTATGTTTTGCATGCAGAGGACCTGGTTCAGTCATAAGCACGCATGTTCCCCTGAGCACCACCGGGAACAGTTCCCAAGCAACACTAGTTATGGTTCAACACCCACCCAAATAGGGATAAGGATAATACTAGAGAGCAGAAAAGATGAGTGACAGAGAAGAGGGAGTGGGTAAAGGAACCCATAGAAGAAAAACATCAAAGGCATTGCAGTAAAGTCCAGAATCGGGGAGAACCTGGACAAAACGGATTTTAGACAGAAGGTGGGGGACATTGGAGGAAAAATAACAAACACAAAAAACTAGATTTTCCAAAAAGTAGGAAACAGCAAAGATTAGCCAAGAGTTTCTTTATTTTCCTACCTAGCATAAAATCTAACTCTAATTCAAATTTATTCATTTATATTTTATTGAATCACTGTGAGATACAGTTTCAAAGCTTTCATGTTTGTGTTTCAGTCACGAAATGATTGAACACCCATCCCTTCACCAGTGCACATCTTCCACCACCAATATCCCCAGTACCCCCCCATCCCAATCTTCCCCTTGCCTCTAGGCAAACAATTTTCCCCATACTCTCTACTTTGGGGCATTATGGCTTGCAATAAGATACTGAGAGGCTATCATGTTTGGTCCTTTATCTACTTTCAGCACACACCTCTCATCTCAAACGAACCCTCCAACCAACATTGACTTAGTGATCCCTTCTCTATTCCAGCTGCCTTCTCCCCCAGCTCATGAGGCAGACTTCCACCTATGGAGCAATATTAGTGTCTACTAGGCTGGGGTCAAAGAAAATACAGAACTCTACAAAAGTAACTTTTACATAAAAAAATACCAAATACTACTGAGTACTATTTATGCAGAGAGTCCCAGAGAAGTGATATGCCCAAACTTAAGGATTTATTTATTTATTTTCATTATTTAGTAGAACTAAGACTAAGGATTCCTGGTATAACTTCTGATAGATAACTTAGTTATGCAAATGAGAATTTATTTTTAATTTTGGCACTGGTAAGGAGCTTAGTGTCTCAAGCATGCAAAGACTATGCTTTATGATTTTTATGCTTTATGCTTTAACTATGCTGAGTTAAAGTCCCAGTTATAGGTTTAAAACAGTCTGTATAAGGGAAAAGTTCATCAAAAGTAGGTAAGACATTATCTAATGATCCTCTTTCTGCTCTCAAGTCCTACAATTAAACAAATAAAAAATCAAAATTTGATACTGAGGAAAACATAAAAAGAAATTACTCATCTGACATTCCTGTGGTTTCTATATTTAAGGGACTTAGGAATAGCATTCTGAGAGAACTGCAGCTGTGTTTATTTATACAGAACTGCTGGTGAAAACAATTCCCTATATCAATGAACCAAGAACACTGGTTTAACTGAACACCTATGTTTTCATAATTCAATGCCTCTGAAGATGGCCCTACTTCCATCTGAACCTATCTGTTTCCCAGGTTTACGCACCAACTTGCTCCAGTAATGAGTCTAAGACATGGAGGTTATATAAATAACAGATTCTTTGCTTTACACAGTCAGTTCTAATCAGCAGCTTAATATTTCAAGCCTACCAACAAACTTTTCCTAGTTTAAAAAGGGATACTTGGAACCAAGGGCCTATGAAAAATGATAATCATAAAATCTTCTCCAGAACTTTTTAGAACTAAATTTCTAGAATGAGGTTATTCCAGGGTACTTAAATAACTATATTTATACAGTGCTTTACAGACCCTCTCTCACATTACGCTACTGCAGGTAATCTGTATTTTAAAACCAATGCATAAGACCCTATATTTATCCCTGTTAAATGTCAACTAGTTTGGATTTAAGCCTGTCAAGATCTATTTGGATTCTAATTTTGTCACTGAACTTTGCTATTTTAGATCAGTGGCGTCCTTCTTAAGCCAGTCAAGAATGATAGAAAGCTCTTCCTGGCATGATGGCCACCAGCAAGCTTCAATCACAGGAAGAGGAAAGAAGAAAGTTTGGATAAGAGACTGTGGTAGCAGATTCAGTAAGGAAGCAAAGAAAAGAAAATCAGAACAGAGGAAAGCAACAAAACAAAACAAAACAAAACAAAAACAAGGTGGGGAGAGAGCTACCAACAACCACTGCCCCAGGAGGCTATTCAAAAGTAACAATCAAGGGACCAAAGTGATAGTATAGCAGATGGGGTAGGGCATTTGCCTTATACAAAGCCAACCCTAGTTCAATACCCACTGTCCCCCAAGCACCACCAGGAGTGACTCCTAAGTGTAGAGCCAGAAGTAATCCTTGACCACTGTTGGGTGTGTCCCCCACAAAACAAGAAACAAAAAAGGTAACAATCAAATATATATGCTGCAATCTGTATGTGATCTTTAAAAGAAAAATTTCCAGCTATATTATTTAAGAAAAATAAGATAATATTTATAAAATTATTTAGTTATTTTTGAAAGATACAGTGGTTTCCTTAATAGGTTTCTTTCGGGGGAGAGATAAAACAGTTACAATTAAGGACCTTCATATTGTACTCCCTATTTGGGTTACTGTCCTTCATGGCTTTGGAATTTGTTAGTTTTGGGCCACTGTGATGCTCAGAGCTTACTTCTGGCTCTGCCTTTAGGAATTGCTCCTGGAGGAGCTTGGATTGCCAGAATTGATGAACCCTACCCTCTGTACCATTCCTCTGGCCTTTCACGGATTAATGTTTTAAATTTAAATTTAATTTTTAATTGAATCACAACAACATACACAGTTACAAAATTGTTCATAATTGGGTTTCAGTTATATCAATGTTCCAATACTTCTCCCTTCACCAGTACTGAAAAGTTATCAGATATATTTCTTTACCTAATTTCAACACTCAGACAGTAATAGCTGGAAATGATCACTTTGGACAGGAGCTCATATATTACTTTAAAGCTTATTTCAGACACTTTTGTCTTTATTTTCATTTTGATGCCACACCTGGCAGTACTCAGGGCTTACTTCTAACACTGAGTTCAGGGATCACTCCTAGCAGTGCTATGGATAACATGTACAGAATCAGCAATGGAATTGGATCAGCTGTGTACAAGGCAAGCACTATCTCTCCGGGTCATCCAGATAGATTATTTTCTTCCAGACACACTTTTGCTCCAACTGCTAGGAAAGAACCTTGACTAAGGATCCTCCTAAGATTTGATTTTTCTTACAATCTAATAAACACTGGGAATCTTGTGCAGTTTATTTAAAAATTTTCTAAAGTACTAAGCACTGGGAATCTTGTGCAGTTTAAATTTTTTTATTTTTTATTTTTGGCCACGCTCAGCAGTGCTCAGCGCTTACTCCTGGCTCTGTACTCAGGAATCATGTCCGGCTGAGCTTGGGGAACTTTCTAGGGGGCTGGGGATCAAACCTAAATCAGCCATATGCAAGGCAAGTACCCCACCTGTTGTACTATTGCTCCAGCCCCAGCTTAGGGATTCTAACATTTGAAAATGTTCTACAGTGAGATCCTGTTCTCCAAAAATGCCCAATTCATTAGATATTTGGTCATTTAGCAAGCTGCACTCACCATCTCATGTCCATCCCACACCCAGGTGACTACCTCCCTCCCTTTGTAAATAAGGAAGTCAGAAGGTAAAGGCCAAGTATCTGCAACTAATAAAAGAACCATCAAGTTGCTATTAGTAAAAATTCAATAGTTTACCCAAGACTCCAGCCCAAGAATACTTTTAGAGGCTAGAGAGATAGTACAACAGGTAAGGTCCTTTTCTTGCACACAGCCAACCTGGGTTCAATCTCTGGCATTCCATATGATCCCCCGAGTACCACCAGAAGTAATTTCTGAGTGCAGAGCCATGGGTAACCCCTGAATATCACCAGGCGCAGCCCCAAAAAAACAAAACCAAAAAACTTTAGGGTAGAGGCTCCTGAATCCATTGCCAGCAGAGTGTGTGAGCTGCTGTGCATACCTTAAATCAACCCTTTCAGGGATTTTCTCCCTTGCCAGCTTACCTCAATACTCACAGCCATGACTACAACCACTTTATTCAAAGGTGAGGACTCCCCAATAGCAAGAACAGCTCCTGGGTTTTACTGCCTCAGGGTGGTGGCTACAATTTTTCATTAAGCTTTGATAACCAACAGAACAGCTGACAGGGAGGAAGAAAATGGTCTTCAGCATCTTTGGACTGAAAAGCATCTTTTGGATGGAAAGCCTCCCTTCATGGGCCAAGTTAGCAGGTGCCAAGTCTAGTGGTAGCAAAAAAGATTCAGAATCATCTGAATCCCAGACAAGGAACTCCTCTGAAGCAACAATGGAGACATTTTTTTGGGGGGGTCACACCTGGTGATGCACAGGGGTTACTCCTGGCTCGGCAC